GGCCTATCTGCATCTCTGCCACCGCTGGAAGGCACGCAACAGGTCAGCATCACGGATCCCTGGCATGGGGAATAACTACACACAGAAATCTTAATTTTTACGTTTGGAATGGGTTGCCTATAAATCAATGAGGAAAAATGCTTGAATATCAGGTTCTAATATGTTTAAAGCATAATTTGTTATGCTTGGGGCAATGGTTAGAGATCTGAATGAACACAGATCACAGGATCGTTTACTTCTAGGGATTGGCAGACTGGCATTGTAGTTCCACCCAACAGAAATAGCTATAGCTGTGAAAAAGTCAGCCAGTCCACTCATGCAACTTATTTTCTATCCCCTCCACAGAATCCTGCTGATTCAGAATGCGCCGGAGAAGATCCATCCATTGGCACCGCCTTCACCAGTGGCCGCCCGTCATCAACAGCATTTCAGTGAGCCCCTTTCACACGGTGGGGCATGCAGTGGGGCGGTGGAGATCAATGCCTCTGGAGTGGCTGCAGCCCATGCCGCACACGACTCGAGCTGTGCGGCACTGGAGAGCGGGGCGGGTGCAGGCGGCCTGAACCAGCAACAGATGCAGCTGCAACAGCGGCTGCTGAATGCCTCACCGCACCACATGCTGCAGTTGGCCGCAGAGCTGGAGGTGCCGCATAGCAGTAGCAGCGCTTGCACTCAAACCGAAGACCCACTGGGACAGCGCCAGCAGCTACCGGGACAGCCATTGGGCCAGGTGGCGGTAGCTGCAAACATTGAGTGCTCGCAGTCGCAGCATAACTATGACCGTGACTGGGCGCTGGACGACGTGGTGTCGCAGATCTCCTCGTTCCGGCCCTGTCCCCAGGGATCGGGCAGCATGACACCCTTTCACGACTCCATACACAACGTGCTGGAGCACTCGGAGGGCTCGAGTCGCGGCTCCGCCACTGATTTGTGTGTCGGCTCGCGGCAGGACCTCAGTGCCAGCGGCATATCTACAGACACGGGCCGCGAGCACGCCCTCCAGCTCAGCAGCTTCAGTGGTGAGTGGATTCTCCGCCTTTCTTAATAGAGTGGTTGATAATGTGTACTATTCTCTCTTTGCAGGCAGCGGGGAACAGAAGGCGCCCTCGATCAGCTCGGGGGTGTCGCATGCCGTGGCCAACGGGCTGGGGGGATTCGTATACAAGCCACACCAGACGAAGCGCTACTCTAACTCGTCCATCTTTCTGGAGAACCGTGATATGCTGAACGACCCTAGCGTGGGCCTGGACACCGCTGTGCACCCGTACGACTACAGCACGCCGCCAAAGATTGACTACCGCCACTCGACCATCCTGGGATCGGACTCGGACCAGCCCATCGGCTGCTGTGCCGCCGACTGTCTGGGCAAGGGCGACGGCAAAGAGGAACTGCGCCGCTACTCAGACCCCAAGCTAAAGGCTAGTGCAGCGGACACTGTGTTGGACATTGACCTTCCCACGTCGCCCCTGTCACCGCCAGCCGCCTACGCCAGTCAGCATCCGCAGCCCACTCTGGTCATGCACCGCTCGTTTGACAGAGGCGTCAACGGAACCTGCATTGGACCGGAGGGCAGGTGCAAGGGACACAGTGCCGCCGATGCCCAAATAGATCGGTCGCGCCTCTTCTTCAAGTCGTTGCCAAATCTCAGCAGCAGCTGCGAGAGTCTCATCAAAAAGTGATTGAAGCCCCCCCTCTAAGAGCTCTCTATCTCCCAATACACATCCCGCGCCCGAACCCCTTTGTTTTCAAGTATTCATCGCTGGTCTGAGACCGACCAACGATCCACTATACAAGATATCCACAGATGAACATGTTTTTTTATACCGCACACGCCCTGCTTTAACGACTCCTGCCAAGCGGAGATTCCACTTAGTTCTCCCTTTTCTGCTCCTTGTTTTACATATTATAGCAAACCCCATAAACAATTTGAGACTGCAAAGAAAACAACTTAAAGGAGAAAAATACTGTACGATACGATAACAGCAGGTGTGGAATGTGTTCTTCATTGGGAAAGAATAATAATGTGTGGAATGTAACTAGTTTTAGTCGCTAATTTGTCTCTGCACTCGTGATCCACAAACCCAAAAGCACATCCAATATCCCACATCCACCAGACATTTCACTTGAGCGCCACAGCCCGCTGTCCAAAGCCAAAAAAAAATACACAAAAACCAACAAACGAAAGTAATATTTAGTACGAGATGGAATGATGGAGAAAGGATCGAAGGATCGTCATGGTCTGATGATGGGAATTGTGTACTTTGTTTCTTAACTTCTAAGTCAAATGAAATTTTAAAAATTGATCTGTGATTAAGCGTCATTGAATATACATACATAAATGCAAACGTACATCCTTACATACATACATAAATGCAAGCATACATATTGACAACAAGAACAACAACAACAACTACAACCAACTGCAGAAGTAGCAACATTTTTACTTAACAATAAAAACAACAACAGCAACATGACAACCACTAAAAGCTTTTTCGCGGTTAAACATGCGAAGCCATGTGAGAGAGAGAGAGAGAGAGAAGCCCGTCTACTACACACTTACTTACTCTCCTCTCTCTCTCTCCCGCTCCACACTCTCGCTGAAAGATATGAATGAAAGCCGTTTTAGAGATAGACTATAGCATTACAGTATATACTTATGATCGCTACGAGTTACGAGCATAGAAACCAATAAACAAAAAAGGGACAACTAAATTTTTTATTATGTACTAAATATTTAAATAAATATGTGCAAATGATTACATTATCCATATGGAGATTTGGTGTTTGTTGGAAGGGAAAGAGATCCAAATGCAGGAACCGAAAAGCCAACGAAACGTCAAGAGATGGAAATAAAAAATACACTAGACAACTGGAAATTCTCTTCTTTATATTTTATTTGATTACTCACAAAAGAAATGCAAAATTCTCTCCGAGTGTTGCGGCTGTTCTGTTACAAAAAAAAGTATAATATCAAAGCGAGAATCCGATTCTCCAGTAATCATAGATACATATGTATATTCGTAGCCTAATTATAGCGACTAATACAAAGCGTTTATTATTTAATGGGATTTTAAAACCGCTTAACACTAAAATGTGATGACAAGTGTGCCTTTCGTGTGTATTTGTGCATGTGTGTATTGGGGCGTGTAATACGATGTTTGTGTCTGTTTTTCTGTGTGAGATGGTCTAACGGCATCCTTTTAGTCTTGCACTCTCCGAGCAGCTCTGCAACACTCCGCTTTCGCCAGCGAAACCTCCTCTCACCCGGTCCTCTCTCTACGACCCGTCTACTTTCCCGTCTCCATCTTTTCGCCAGCGCCATTTTCAGTCTTGCCATCGGCGGCGACTGCAGCTACAGAACCCTCGGGAGCCTTGACACTCAAGTGCGCAGGACCTGTTTGCTGGATCTGAACGATGCGCTCCGGCTTGGGCTGCTCCTTGCTGGGCGGCGGGGGCGCCTTCAAGGTTAGCACGCCGTCCGAAGAGACGGTGGACACGACCTCGTTGGGATCAAAGTCCTTTGGCAGCGTGTACTTGCGCACAAAGTGTCGCTGAATCATTCCGTGCCCGTCCTCGCGCTCCTCGTGCTTTCCCTCGACCACTACTGTCTTGTCCACCACCTTCACGGTCAGCTCGTTGGGCTTAAACTGGGACACGTCCATGCAGACCTGGAAGCCATCTTTGCCGATGGCCGGCAGCAGCGAGTTCTGGCCACCGCCTGACTGACGGCGTGGCACCAACTGATGGGGATGTGAGTGGTGGTGGTGGCTGCGCTCGTACGGCAGGAAGCGGCGGCGACCCAAGGAGGAGCCGTGGTGAGGCAGCATCAGACGCGGACGTTGGAACAGATCGTGGGCATGGACCCCAAAACCAAAGTCATCCTCCAGAAAGTGATCCCACTCGTTGTTGTAGGCGCTGCGGTAGTCATGCTCGAGCTCGCGAGCCAGGCTCAGTAGTGGTACAAGCGACATTTTAATATTTCTTTTCACTAAACTCTTTGTCTGGGCAAAATATGCTCTCTCACGTGGATGCTTTTACAACATGAACTTCGAATGCAACTGTTAACTGTCGCCCTTTGCGTCGGCCTTTTATACCGACGCCCTGCTCACACACACTCGCGCAAGCAACAAGCTGTTTTCTCGTTCTCTCTCGCCCTCTCTTGAAGTTTCGCGCTCTTTCTGGCACAACCGGCACCACCACAATGCCGGTTGTTGGCTGTGTGTGCGTGAGAAAGTTCTTGAAATCTCTGAGAGTTTCTCGAATATGCGAGTACATACAAACACGTTTATTTAAAGCATTTGCTGTTCTTATCGAAGTTGTTGCAAATTCAATTGTTTAAATGTTTAAAGGCACGTTCGTGCTGCTGTGTGCGGTGCAGCCCAGTGCAATGATATTTTCTGGAAGGTGCATTGAACCTGCGCAGTGTCTGTTGTTATGTATGCATGTGTTCGAATCGTTGTGTTTGCGTTTTTTTTGTTTTGTGGCAAACATTTTTGCAGCCACTGCTGCTGCTGAGAAATCTAAAGTAAAGCAGAATTTAAAAAATATATGCAGTCGGCTACAGTGGTAGCCTGCATGTGGAAATTTGCAAAAGTATTCAAAGATGGATGCATTTTAACTCGTATAGCCCACATATATACACATGTATGTATGTACATACACACTTACACCAGATGCACCCCATCGAAGGTAACAGCAGCTGACGAACATTGGACGTCAAAATATTGAGCAGAGTGAGTATGTAAGAAGAATCGTCCCAATTTGCATAAATATTAAAACAATACAGAAAATAGGGCTTTATATTTTGAAATGTAGTTGTTAAATTATTGAAAGTGTGTACAGGCAGCGATGGTAACAGCAGCTGATTGCAATTTCAAAGAGTGAAGAGGATAGCAAGAAAAGCACACTCATTTCCGAAATATTGGTTATGTGCGGAATCTGAAATCGGATGGTATTGGCCCACACTAAGTATTCAACCCAGAAAAAAATAATGATGAAAGTATATTTTAAGGGTTTATTAATATATTTGGTAGTCTTGGAAAGCCAACGCAAATTACAGTCATTTTGTTTAAAATTACGATTACTACAGGACACTCCTTATAACTAGTGCGAGTGTCCAGGGATAACTAGAGCGTATAAAACAGATTATGGTCTTTGAATATGAAAAAATCTAGAATGGTTTGAGCGGCTCCACTTATTTTTCATTGCCGTTGTTCTGCTCCAGCTGCTCGTTCTGCTTGATGTTGAGGTGGGCGGGTCCCACCTGCTGGATCTGGACAATCCGCTCGGCCCCCTTGTCTTCGATGGCCGGTGGCTTGGGAATGCTCACGGTGAGCACGCCGTCCGAAGACAGGGTGGAGGCCACCTTCTCCGCGTCGTATCCTTCGGGCAGAGCATAGCGCCTGATAAAGTGGCGTGTAATGTAGCCGTGATCGTCCTCGCGTTCCTCGTGCTTGCCCTCCACCAGGACAGAGCTTTCCTGCACCTTGACGCTCAGCTCGCTGGGTTTGAAATGGCCCACGTCCATGGAAACCTGGAACCCGTCCTTGCCCACTTTGGGCACGGCTCCCGAGGTTACTCCTGCTCCTATTTGCTTCTCCAGCTGGCGCAGCTGTTGCTCCATAGGGCCAGCAAGCGACAGGTAGGGATTGCCCCGGCGACGCTGACAGTAGTAGGGCTCGTAGTAGGGTACCATGGACATGCGACCCAGGTCGTCGGCGAGGCTCAATAGTAACGGTAGGTTTGCCATCTTGTTCTTGCTTTAACGGTTCTTTGCGGTAGAAAATTCTCTGAGAAAAAGCTTTTGCTGGCTAAACGCTTTTACGTTTTGACGGTTTGAATTCAACTGATGCCGGTCGAACGAAAGCCCCGGCTATTTATACTCTGACGACAGCTGGGTGGTGGCAGCTCCACTGCGAGCCAGTGTGCGTGTGTGTTGTGTCAGTGTGTGACGTGGCATCAACATCTAGAAACTGCACGAAGCTTCTATCTCTCTCTGGCTTCACAAAATGTTCTTGAATTCGCAGAAATTACGCATTATCTGCCCAATGAAAGCGAGAGTATCGCTGTGAAAATGATAAGGGATGAGTGTCATGAGGAGCCATGTGGAATGATAAGTCCCATCATCAGAGGAACAGAAAAAATATTATGTACAACCCTATAGGATGAAAAGTAAGGGCAAAAGTCCACGAAGGATAACGGTTCTGGATTATTCTGGAAGCTCTCGGGGCAATTTAATTAATAGTTTTATGTGCTAGCGTTTCAGCAATTAACTTTACTCGATGACTAAAAAAAAGAAAATTAAATTTGTCAGACTTAATTTTTATTGCTTTGATTTTGCCGTACAATCCTGATCAATTTAAAGGGAAATATCTAGAAATTTCTCGATGGGTATTTATTCACCTATCTAGGAATAGAAAATAGAGATACAGATACGATACATGAATTGTAAATATGTACAAATTTACACAGATGTGTATGTACTTTACTTTCTCATTTGCATCGTTTATTTCTTCGTTACAATATCTTTATTTATCAATAGAAAAGGAAATTTCTAGAAGTTTCTCGTAAGGACTTGTAATTTAGCACTACGAATATATAAAATTAAAAAACTTGTATTAATAAAGCAAATTTACAGGGACCAAGAATTTTGATTCCCTAGTGTCTCACGAAGCAACGGCCAATCCATAAAAATATCTCTTTCCTTTGATGATATATCATTTATGACGTTATTTTTATTCGATGTATGTAGTAGTATATAAGCTGAAAATTTACACAATTTTTTAGCAACGCAAATGGAAAATGTCTATTCCTGAAGGTAGCTTTGTATGTGGTAATCTCTGGTACACTGTTTCCCTGGAGTACATATGGGGGCAAGTACATACATACATACACACATATGGATATATGGAGTCACGTAGCAGTCTCTTATTGCTATTCCACGTATACACACAACATGGATCCCCCTCTGCTCTTGGATGTGCTCCCATTTAATTGTTGCCAGACGCTCAAGACTCGACTGTGTACTGTGGAGTCTGTCTGGCTCTTGTCTGGGTAGGGAGTGAGTGTGTATGTGTGTGCAACCGGTTACCCACACCCACAGACATACAAATATGTATGTGCAGATGATGCATCAGATGCACACACAGTTGCAAAGTCCTATGTAATGCATGTACTCTGCTCCAGACGTCGTGAGTGCGCATGATTACGCGAAGCCGCCCCACTCCGCCACCCTGCCCTACCCCACCGCACCATACAGTCCACACACAGATACTCGACTGCCTTCCAGCAGAGCGAAAACCAGCTGTTGTTGTAGTTGCTCCATTCGCCGGCTTCCCAACCCGGCAAGAGAATTTTTTTTTAGAGCCGTCTCAGCTGTTTGCCCGGCATCGGGAATGGAATTCAGCTGCAGCACTTTACATATATGCATGTACACATGCACACACATGTGTACATACATGCATATATTTGCATTATATAGAGATGATATCTCCTGGGGTATAGAGACCAGACCCCATGTCTCAATGGAGAGCCGGTTTACCCTGCTTCTGCCGGTCGAAGGCTGGTTATTTTTTTCGGCTGGAATACTTTCTTTGTTCTCTTTGGTTTGCGGAAAAGTATCTGAAAGAGGGATTTGGAAATCGAATTTCTATCTGAGGGTTCAGTTCCGCCCTGAAAACTGGGCGAGTAAATAAGACTGCACATAAGGGAGGGGTAGGGAAATCCCAGTTTCTCCCCCTCTTCGGAGGGTTTCTATCTTTTTGCATGGGCCAAAGATAGAGAGACAGAGACAGCCACAGCGGCGGCGGACTTCCAGGCCAGACCTTTCCTTCCAGACTTGATGGTTTTCCATTCAGCGCTGCACAGCCGCTTAAAAGCGCCGGCATTCAGCCATAAGCCCTCAAACGTAATCCAGTTAGAGGCCAGAACGGATCGCGCGTGCTGCTCCCAGTCAGGTCCAACTCCAACTCGAAGTCCAAGTCCAAATCCAAATCAAAATCCAACTGCCAGAGCAGTGCAGAGCAGATTAAATCCCAGATACGGAATCGGTTTCGGAAAATGTCGCTAATACCGTTCATACTCGATCTGGCCGAGGAGCTGCACGACTTTAACCGCAGCCTGGCCATGGACATCGATGACCTGGGCTTCGGTATGTATCCGCTGGAGCACCAAGTCCAGGCACAGGCACAGACGCAGACGCACTCCCACCCCTACACCCCACAGCTGAGCCGCCCCGCCCTGCGCCTGGGCCTGGGATCCAGCCCCACGACATCTTCTTCGGTTCTGTGGGTGCCCATCAAAGGGCAACATGCGGCGTCACCAGCACCGCAGCATCGCCATCATCCCTACAACCGGGTGGCGGGTGCGAAGACCGTCTGCTGCAATAAGTCGCTGCTGGAGTTGGAAAAGGAGTTGGGGGAGAAGGGTAGTGGATCAGGTGCTGGCGCAGGAGCTGGAGGAACCACTGCCACTTCTCCAACCACGGCCAGCAAGTCCGCCTATTCCGTGGTGAACCGCAACGGCTTCCAGGTGAGCATGAACGTGAAGCAGTTCTCCGCCCGTGAGCTGACGGTGCGCACCATCGACAATTGCATCGTGGTCGAGGGACAGCATGACGAGAAGGAGGACGGTCACGGGGTCATCTCGCGCCACTTCATCCGGAAATATATGCTGCCCAAGGGTTTCGACCCAGCCGAGGTCCACTCGACGCTCTCTTCGGACGGCATTCTCACCGTCAAGGCGCCACCGCCCCCTCCACCCGCCAACAAGGCGGGTGTGGAGCGGCTCGAACGCATCGTCGACATACAGCAGCTTTTGCAGTCGCAGTTGCAGCCGAAGGATGCGCAGACGCCGAAACCGGTTCCGACAGAGGCACACGCACAGGCAGAGGCAGAGTCGAAGAGTGTCGCCGCCCCAACACCAACAGCAGGAGCAGCAGCAGCAGCAGCCACCCCGGAGAGCAACGGTAATGGCCAGGCAGAGGCTGTAGCTGCTGCTGCTGACGTTGACGTCGATGCCGACATTGCAGTTCCAGCTGAGGCTGCAGCAAAAGCAGTGGAAACTACTTCCACCACTTGCACTTCCACTACAACTTCCAATTCCAGTGCCAATAATGGCGTGAAACTAGAGTCCGAGTCCGAGTCCATGGAGGTGGCAACTACTGCGGAGGCTTCCACTCCCAAGGAAGATTCTACTCCCAATCCGACTGCAGCTGTGGTGAGCAGCTCCGAGGAGGAGGCCAAAACCGAACCCAATGCCAACGACGTGGCCGTGAGCTCCAACAATGGAAGCAGCGGCAATGGCAACGGCAATTCCGATGTGGCGCCCGTTGTCGGCGAAGATGAAGACATGCCCATGTCTGCGAAGGCGGTTGGGGAAGAGAAGCAGCAGGAGAAGGAACCGGAGAAGGGCGAGAAGTCTAGCAAGGGGGCTGAGGAGCTAGCTGCCGTCGATGCCGCCATACTGCTGGCCAAAAATCAGCCCGCTGCTGACGGTGGGGAGAACGGTGCAGCCGCAGTTGGTGGGGAGAATGGAGCCTCTGCCGGAGGGGAGAATGGAGCTGCTGCTGCGGCAAAAACCGAAGAGGTGGCCGCAAAGTGAAGACTGAAAGAAAAAGAAAAGAGAAACAGAAAAATAATATGTATGTATGCGTGAGTTTTATTCGTAAATGTTTCCTGTGTTCTCTTTTGGCATTTCGCTATAAACAGACAGAGATAGAAGCTAAGTAGGAAGGCAAACCAAGAGGGAGATGATGTCGACTCAATAACTACGCGAGCGAGATAGCAGTATGATTTCCTAACAAATATGTGACAACAACTACAAGTATTCCAGTAAAACTTAAAGAAACAAAAACCACTTAATGTACTTACAATAAAAAACAAATGAAGAGAATTCCGAGTGAGCGGCGTTGCATTTTGTTTGCCGGTAACTCTTTCTCCCTCGCACACGCGAAACAACGGGGGAAGAAATATTTTCTCTCACACACACACACACATATGGGGGCCACAAACAAGCTTTTTTGCTCTCTCTGCGTCTGTCTCTCTTTCTGACTCACACACACACTCCCAGCAATTGCCAGGCGTTTCTAGAAGAGCGCGAGAATGGCTATAAAAGCCCCGTCAACAGATCAAAGCGGGCAAAACAACCGTTGGCGTCCACCGAGCAACATTGCAAAAAGCATAGCAAGATCATTCTTTTCAAACATAACCTAAAAGTCGATTCAGTTTATTTTATACCACAAAATGGCGCTTTCTACTCTGCTTTCCCTGGTCGACGAGCTGCAGGAGCCCCGCAGCCCCATCTACGAGTTTGGCCTGGGCATGCATCCGCATTCCCGCCACCTCATCGCGCCCCAGCGTCACTCCATCAACGGCTGTCCTTGCGCCTCACCAATGTGTGCCGCCTCGCCGACGGGCCAAGTGCTGGCCGCGCGCCGCCAGATGGCCAAGAACAACGACATCCACTGGCCCGTGACTCATGTGGGCAAGGAGGGATTCCAGGTGTGCATGGATGTGGCCCAGTTCAAGCCGAGCGAGCTCAGCGTCAAGGTCGTGGACAAGTCCATCATGATCGAGGGCAAGCATGAGGAGCGGCAGGACGATCACGGCCACATCATGCGTCACTTTGTGCGCCGCTACCAGGTGCCACAGGGCTACGAGCCGGAAAAGGTCGTCTCGCAGCTGTCCTCTGACGGCGTGCTCACTGTGAGCATCCCCAAGCCGGTGCCCATCGCAGACAAGTCCAAGGAGCGACTCATCCAGATCCAGCAGGTGGGACCCGCCCATCTGAATGTCAAGCAGAATGCCGTCGATGATAAGGGCAAGGAGAATGGCTCTGCCAATGGCAGCTCCAAGTAGAGAATGCCGTCCATGATATCAAGTTCACCCATCATTCCCCCACATATATCTGTAACCTATTTATTCAAAATGCATTTGTAACGAGCTAAAGACTTGAGAAATAATTTATTAAATATCATACACCTGGTGTGAAAAATGAATGTAATTGAGAGTGATTTCCTAGGCTTCTTAGTTTGGACTGGTCGAAAGACAATACCAATATGCAAAGTTAATGGATAAAGAATAATAACTTCTTCTCTCTGAAGCCGAATAACAGAGAATGTATTACCAAAGACTAAAAGTTGCATATTCTGTTTCCCAATATTTTCACATATAACGTCCAACATTGACGCTTTCATTTGGGCGCAACCAGCCGCATCCGTACCCGTATACCCAAACAAAAATATCCTCTTGCTCGGTTCTGATAAATATCGTATTTATTGCGCATTTTATATTACCCACGGGTACAAATTGTGTTTATGTATTTGAATCCAATTGAAATTTCGGCTGCACTTGCCTCTGCCTGCTATCCCAGAAATAGTTCACCTTGAGTTTGGCGGGTTTTTTTTTTGGATGAGTGGGGGATGGTATGTCTCTCCCTCGACTGGGATGGGTTTAGCATTGGACTGGGGACTGGGAGTACCATCTACTTCCAGGGCAGGGCCAACTTGCCCGTCTCGTGGACACGGATCATACGCTCGCCCGGACTGTAGTACTTGGATGGAGGCGGTGGCGGTGCCTTGATGGTGAGGATGCCATCCGTGGATATGTCCGAGATCACCTCATTGGCATTGTAGCCGCGCGGCAGGAGGTATTTCCGCACAAAGTGGCGCTCCACCAGGCCGTTGGAGCCTTCGCTCCGTCTGTTATGGTTGCCCTGGACTATGACATAGTCGTCGTTGGTCTTGACCACTATCTCGTGCGGATGGAACTGCCGCACATCGATATCCACGCGGAATCCCTTCTCGTCCACGTGCACCCGCTCGCCGGAGTAGTAGTTGTCCCACCGCATGGGATAGGCCCAATCGTAGGGATTGGATTGTATCAGCTGGTTCCGCACGCGGCGCGTCACCAACTCGTCCATGGGCCGCAACAGGTCGCTCCTGCTGCTCTGGTGGGCGGGCCACCAGGCTCGCGGATCGTCCCAGAGGTACGGATACATCTGGAAGTCGTAAGGAGCCTGGTACAGCGGACGGGGTCTGTCCAGTTCGCGCGACAGATCGCGATATGTGGTCGGCACCAGAGTCATTTCTTTGCGGGATTCGGTAACGATTCGTTCGCTTTCGCGTTCACAATTCTTATAAAATTTGTATTGGCCGCCGTTAGTTCTTTTATAGATGACCGGGTGGCCTCGCCCGATGTCGGATGCATCGCCGGATGCGGATGGGGATGGGACAGCGATGACTCATCCCAGCCGATGCGCCTCGGCTCGGGCCAAGTGCACCGAGAGCCGCGAGAAGGCCAACGAGACACACACGAGCGTGGCCAATTGGATCCGCGTCAAGTGGCGTCTACGTCACCTAGGAAAGTGATGAGGGGAAGGGCCAGACTGGGGACGCAATTAATCGAAAGTGTTTTCGGTTATCTACGGGAATGTGCAAGTAGGGGATTCAGGCACCTCTATATGGTTACATAAAACGACAGTTCCTTGGTTACTCATAATATTCTATATATTTCCGTATTTAAACTAAGGGAGTATGCGGGGGTATGACATATGGAATAGGTCATAGGCTAAAAGGTTTCACTAGCTTTTGATTCACTTCATTCAGGAGTCATCTTCTTCCATAGACCATTGGGTCCGGCCTACTACTTGCTGGTTCCGATGGTTTCCTCCTCCGCCTGGCCAGCGGTTTTCATGGCCGGGGCGTTAGTCTGTTCGATGGGGACCACACGCTCTTTGAGCGCCTCCTGAACAGCCGGAGGATTGGGAACATTGATCGTTAGGACACCATCGCTGCTCAGGCTGGAGGTGACTTTGTCGCCCTCGTAACCCTGCGGCAGAACAAAGCGCCGCATGAAATGACGCGAGCTGTAGCCTCCGGCGTCACCTTCCTCCTGCTGCTCGGCCTTGCCCTCGACCAGGACAACGCTCTCGTCCAGCACCTTGACCTTCAACTCGGTGTAGTCCTTTACGTCCAGAGTCAGCTGGTATCCATCCTTGGTGACGGTGGCCGGAGGGGCGAACTCCCGCTCCTGCCATCGCGCGATTTGCTGCCAGTAGCGGGGCTGAGCCACGCTCCACACGGGCGGCTCGTGGAAGAAAGCCTGGAATGGCGACAGGCGTGGCATCCTGGTCATTTCCTCGGCCATACGTAGGAACATCGGTAGGGATCGCATTCTGATGTAAATTTCCCTTTAACTGTTGAAATTTCCGTTGCTTGCTCTGCTCTCTCTGTATGTGGAGAGGTGCTTTCTCTTGCTATGATTCTGTTGAATTGCAAGTGCCGGACCTCTGCGGCCTCTATTTATACACGCCACCGCAAGTGTCTAGAAGTATCCGGAACTTTCTTGGCTGATGCAATTTTGAGCGGGCAATGGGCTGGTGGCACTCAATGGGGTGGCTGGCTTCTCGCAAACTCTAGAACCTCTAAATCAGCTTTATTTACGGTTTATTAGCTTTTCTCTGGCTCTCTCAATTTTGTTTGCTTCTTGAGGCAGGTCAGGGCTTTCGGCAGAGAGAGCAAATGAAGGGAGCGTTAGTGGAAGCGAGACAACTATAGTTCGTGGCTGGCTAAGTTCATGCGTATGTGTCTGTTCGTGTGCTTGTATGTATTGCTAAGCTTGGTGGTAGTAGAAAAAGCTCAAATTTATTTCGACTTTCTTCTTTTGATTATATGTACATTAATTTTAAATCTAACTAATGGATTTAGAGACCCTCCCTTTGGGCCCACTCCAGCCAGGAGCCCTTGTAAATCACCACACTGTAAGAAAATACAATTTCCGGTTTAAGTATGTATAAATTAAATTAATGGATTGCTACCCACTTTGAAAAACCCTGGGCCTTGGCAATCTTCTCAGCCTCCAGCACCCGCTTGCCTGAGCGGCAGGAGAATATAATCTTGGAATCCTTGCCCGGCTTGTCCCGTCCGTAGCTACTCTTAAACTCCTTGCTACCTAGACACAAGGCTTTGTCCAGCTCGGTCACTAAAAAGTCAAATAATTCCTATTAAATCTTTCGACAGACCTGGGGCCACGTTATTACAGGGTATGTTGAGGCTGGCTGGAATGCTGCCCGTCTGCCGTAGTTCCTCCTTCTCTCGTACGTCGATCAAGTAGATCTCCGGATGATTGGGCACGTCTTTCACTTGCTCATAGGTGGCCATGTTGCACAGTGGGCGGATGATAGCATTCAGCTGGTACGCCAGTCGACACGGAACTGACTTTCTCGCTGGCACTGAAAGATACATTTTCTGTCTAAATCGTGATTTGTTTGCCTACGTCTGGCTTATCAGTGTTTCTTGCTTGTGTGCCGTGCCGTTGTTGTTGACGCCAGTGGGGCCTCTAATTGCCATAGTGTCGCGGTCGCGGCGTTCGAGTTACGTCTGAATTGGGGCGACCAGATCCATATTGAATTTCAAATTGGATATGGATCTGTCTCCCAGACAGAGCTTGCTATATATATATGTATATGTAGTGTAGATCCCATCAAATGCCATGGAGCATTTTAAATTCGAATGCTGTTTGTGCCATGTCTCGTCTCTCTTAGCAGCCCCAGAATGTTCCTCTGTCTGTTGCTGCTCCAGGGAAAGCTCTGCAGCACAAGCTTTCTTTCCGCTCCCAGCCTGCCTGCCTGCCTGTCACTGTTGCTTATAAAAAGGAGTCGCGAGCCCAGGAAACTCCACATTTGAGTCGGAAAATTCACGGAAAATTGTTCGCGAAACTGCAGCGTCTGCCTACAGTAGTATTCACCGCCCGCTGGTAAACCAACCCTCCACAGTCCCAAGGAAATCAGGTCGTCAGTTCAGCGAACTTACTTCCGCCAGATACAGAATCTAAATCAAGAAAAACCTCGAGAAAATGCCAGACATTCCGTTTCTCTTGAACCTTGACTCGCCCGACTCCATGTACTATGGCCACGACATGTTCCCCAATCGCATGTACCGCCGCGCGCACTCCCGTCAGCATCCGGAGCTGGATCTTCACACGCTGGCATTAGTTGCCCGGATGGGTGCCCATGCTCATCATCTGGTGGCCAAGAAGCGCAGCGGCGAGTTGGCCGCATTGGGCGGCGCTCGTTCATTGGACAAGAAGGGAAACTTTGAGGTAAATCTCGATGTGGGTCTCTTTCAACCTGGCGAGCTGTCCGTCAAGCTGGTCGACGACTGCATTGTGGTGGAGGGCAAGCATGAGGAGCGCGAGGATGATCACGGACATGTGTCGCGTCACTTTGTGCGGCGCTATCCGCTACCCAAGGAGTTCGATTTGGATGCAGTGGCTTCCACATTAACTGAGGACGGCGTCCTCACCATAACCGTGCCGCCTCTGGTGTCCCAGGACGAACCAAGGGAGCGCGTCATAACCATCAAGCACGTGGGCCCGTCCGATCTCTTCCTGAATGGCAATGGCCAAAAGGAGCAGTCAGCCTCGCCTCCCTCCGAGGCCAAGTAAACAGCTTAGCCAAACAAAAACTATCGCGCCATCGGCCTCCAAGTGATTTCCCAAGACTCCCTTATTTTTGTCGTAGCACTAAAAAGACGCAAATTTATGCACCAAATCGTATTTATTCACTAATTACCAACTACATTTTAAAGCCCAATTAAGCCCAATTTTAAATCTTATTAAAATTCATTATTATTAATAAAGGAATATAACTGTCGCAGCGCTCTGCTTGTTCTTTGGGTGTTTCTTGTTCCATATTGCAACCATATGGCATTGCAAAAGACATGGGGAGAAAAAGTATAATCATATGCAAAATATGTCCTCAGATTGTAGCCCCAATAAAAGCTTCCCTCAACTCACAGTTGAGGGAGTTAAGCCTTTTTCCCAAATTTTAAATTTTATATTGGCGCCAAGTCTACTCATCGATATATCGAGCTTTCAGTCACTGTGTTCAGTCACTTTTACACAAAATAAAGTTTCACAGCTGTAAGAAGGTGAAGTTTGTATTTTACATTATAAAAATCGCATAAAAACAGAAAACAAATATGTCTGTTGATCCAGTATTCCTCATCTCGGCGTTTTTCCTGTGACTGGGACGATAAAAATATTTGTGTCATGTAACAGCTACTCGGATATCGCCCATCCCTAGCCAAATAGTAACCTCAAAAATGTTTTGTTTACTTTTGCGGCAGTCGGGCAATTCCTGCAAATTAGTCGGAAAACATATTGTCAGATCCTCCCGCCGTGCACCCATCAAGGCTCTGCATACCTCCCAATGTAAGTAGCCCGCAATTGCCCATCCGGAGCGAATTCACTGAAAATGTAATCCGTATCTGAGATTATGAAATGGTTCTCTCTCTGCAGGGCTGCGGCATGGCGAGTACGAGTGGCAAGATCCCAAGTCTCCGGATGAAATGTGAGTACGACCATTATCCTTCATAGATCTTCAATTAATGTGGGGATCCCTGCAACGCAGAGTAAACATCACGTACGTTGACAAGGACGGAAAGCGCACCAAAGTGCAGGGAAAAGTCGGAGACAATGTGCTCTACTTGGCCCATCGCCACGGAATCGAGATGGAGGGTGCCTGCGAGGCATCGCTAGCTTGCACCACCTGCCACGTTTACGTGGATCACGATTTTCTCGAAAAACTAAAGGAAGCCGAGGAGAAAGAGGACGACCTGCTGGACATGGCTCCCTTTCTGCGGGAGAACTCGCGCCTCGGCTGCCAAATCCTGCTCGATAAGAGCATGGATGGCATCGAGCTCGAGTTGCCCAAGGCGACGCGAAACTTCTACGTCGACGGGCACAAGCCAAAGCCCCACTAGTCCCGCTCTGGTCACTGTTAATAGCTTTAAATGTTGAATAAACACGCGTGTTGAAAGTATATCTTTCCCAACTTGTATATTTCTTAAATGTATACAATGCTTTCGCTTTGTGTCATTCCATCGTGAATTAAACTAAAGTTGAATTCTTTAAGTGGAGCCTATAAAATTACATTTTCTATGATGACAATTGTAGGGAAAGCAGTGGACAGAAACAGGTGAAACATTCGCGTTTTCTGCGCTGTGGGGATTGGATTGGGATGAGAGACATAAAAGTGTATATAAAACAATCGGATAAAACTATATTACAATTAAAGCAAAGTACAAAAATATAAACTTTGATAGCAAAAAACTAAAAGAGCGGTGCAACAAATCCTACAACCATGCATTTGTGTGTGTGTCGTGGGGATTGAAATGTTGCACACTGGTCTGGGTAGTGGTGGAGAGGGCACTCTCAGTTCGATGAGGGACTGGGGCTGGTGGAGCCGGAGGCGGAGCGCGAGCGCACACTGGCGCGATCCTCCTGCTCGCTGCGCTCTTCCTCACGGTCGCAACTCTTCTCGTCCTTGTCCAGGTTGGCAGGCTCGGATGTTTTGATCTGTTTCTCTGGTGCAGCCGCGATAACTTCCTCTTTGGGCGACAGATTCTCCCGCTTGATAGCTTCCCTTTCTGCCTTGCTGGGCCCACTGGCCACCTTTTTGCTGCTCTTTTTCAAAGTGGCCAGGTCCTTGATCAGACTGGAAATTTTACGGTTCAAGTTATCCACCTTCATGTCGTGCAGGCGCTCGACCTCCTTCAGCCTGTTGCGCATGTCATTTTCCTTTTCGAAGTTTTTGCCTTTCAGCTCGGTCAACTAATGGTGAGAGAATAGGCATGAGTAGATATTAGCAGATATTTAGTACCAGAAAGACATTCGCGTTACTAACCTGCTTATCCTTCTCCAGCAATTCTTTGTCTTTTTGATTGAGGCGCTTCTCCAGGCTGGCGATGCGTTCCTTAAGGTATGTGATGGCCACCACATGATCGGACGAATTAGTGTCCACAGTGATGGCAGCCGGGGCTGCGATTGTGCCGTTGCCACTGTTTCCGCGCGTTATTTTGTCCGGAAGATCCAATCCGGCTCCGCTCACCGCCGTAACGCCACCAGCATTGTTGCTGCCTCCGCTCTTGCCGAGCTCATTGCGCGATGGTTTCTTTGCCGAGGCGCTGTCTCTGTGCGAGGAAGAAGACTTTTCATGGGGTCGCTTCTTGGACATGGGTATTCGGCCCTCCTGCTGGGCCTTCAGCACAGCACGCTTGTAGGCACAGGTACACAGCCAGCATAGGAGTTTTCCATTGACCTGAAAGCGAAACGAAACATGTGATCGATTAAGGGCGATTACAAAGGCTTAAGCCCTAATCTTATACTAGATTTGGTCTCTTATGAACGCAAATACATGATTCTTAGACTCGTGCAAATCGACGAAGTGGCGTGGCGAGCAGCATTGGTACAGTTCACCCCGCTCGCTATTTCTACATTTATTTGTCTTAAATTTATGGTTTTAACATTAAGGGCTGCTTCCGATGGGCGCTCCTTGGCCGGGTGCAGTGAGAGTGAGTGAGTGAGGGACGCTGACCTTTTTGTTCTCGTCGCGCCTGTCAAAGGCTGATCGCAGCTTGCATTCGTCGCAGTGGACTGGTGGTCCATACTTTGCCTCGTAGCTGGCGCATCTATTTTGCATGATTTTGTGTGATTTTGAGTTTTTTTTAATTGTTTCACACGTGGCAGCAGAAAAGAGAAGAAGAAAAATGTTTTGCGTTCATAAGAGACGTTATATTGTTTGGTTTTGACTGGTTCTTTGGTACAATATATAGAAAATCAGGAAAGAAGAGTCTACTACTGAAGGAGTTACAAAGTCATGTACTTTGAAGGCACAATTAGTTGGGTAGCTGGGCTATGGGGATTCATAGAAAGGTTTAGAAAGGTTAAGAAATATAGAAAAGAAATTCCAGGTTTGCTCCTACATTGTGCATTCAAATTACACGGCCACAAGTTGCTCAGAATAGAACCAAACTACTCTTACGAAAAGAACTACTCGAGAGTTGTGTCTCAGTTTAAAAAACTAGGAGAAATCAAGAACTGAAATGAACATACCTCATGCATTTGGACCCCGCGAAGGCAGCCACAATCTTGCAGCACTCGCACGGACTGGGCTTACCGTATTTTCCCAGATAGTGTTCGCATTTTTTACAGGCACTCTGTGATTTGCTGTGAAGTACATGAATGGACAATATACAGGGTCATTATCAGGCCGGGGATCCATTCAACTTACGTGGCGGGTTGGAACTCCGAGCGGCAGTAAGTACATTTAACAACTGAGGTAGAACCACGGCAGCCCTGCGAATATCAAGGTTAATGTAGGTTTAGTAAATGCTGCAGACTCTGCTGTGCTGTTCGGGTTGTTTATTAGTCACAACAGCAGCCAGCCACAAACAACTGACGCTGTGGACGCGACAGACGCTGCTTCTTCTTGCCGTCCATTTTCACTTAAATGCGCAGCAAAATTTTCGCAACAAAGCGACGCGTCATTGCTGTCGCTTGCCAAGATAAAACACACACAAACATCAAACATTTTGTTTACTGCATTTTGTTAGGGCCACAGTCATGCTATTTCTTTTTCTTTCTTTTAATTGTCTGCGCCATTCGCTTTTCACCTTGCAAAGTTGCTGTCCCGAGGATAATTCTTCGTATGGATGACGCGAGAAACATTTCGAGCATGCGAATAATACTTTTGCACTCATGTTAGACGTTATGATATTTGTGTGCAATTGAATTTTGTGCTAGAGTTTTTAAAGTTTTTTTTTGTTTCTGCTGCTTTGCTTTAAATGGTCAATGTGACCGCGGTTTTATGGATAAAATGTACCCGCATGACCCTCAGAAATATACCGAAATATACTTCCCGTTTTCGTAATATACCGTAAATAATCCACTACACTATCGATATTTATCGAAGTAACCCTGAAATACAGTTCAGAACGAGAAGCAAAGCAAATTGGATAATGACGCAACAATGAATCTTTATTCCATACGCGTTCCCGTAAGATACATTTGATTGTGTATGGGAAAAGTTTCAGCAACATGCTGCCACACTACGAAAATGAGGGGAAAGTCTCCACAAAAGCACTCTATTCTCCACTGAAAAGAGAGCACTCTCCACGAATTGAGAGCGAGTTTTGCAAACTCTCCACGAATTGAGAGCGAGTTTTGCAAACTCTCCACGAATTGAGAGCAAATTTTGCAAACTCTCCACGAATTGAGAGCGAAAAATGTCAGTATTTTTGGTGCGCTAAATTGAGTTTGGCGGTCAATTTGAAATGTGTCTTAATATTTGGAAAAATAAATATTTCACTTGATTTGTTTTTTCGAGTGACCTCAGAACCCGAGAACCAGTAACCAGTAAATAACAAAAAAAAAAATTAATAATTAATAATTTTTTTAGCCCGATACTATCATGATAGTATCGATTGTTTTTTTCAAAACATTCAAAGCTATCGATGGCTCAACTATCAATCGTTTGACAGCTCTAGTTTTTAAAGTTTTTTTTTGTTTCTGCTGCTTTAAATGGTCAATGTGACCGCGGTTTTATGGATAAAATGTACCCGCATGACCCTCAGAAATATACCGAAATATACTTCCCGTTTTCGTAATATACCGTAAATAATCCACTACACTATCGATATTTATCGAAGTAACCCTGAAATACAGTTCAGTACGAGAAGCAAAGCAAATTGGATAATGACGCCAACAAAAGGGAATCGGCGATAGTATCAATTCAAACAACAACGTTCGTTTCCAGGCTGTACGAGAAAATTATTTTGCTGAAAAACTGAATGGTTTCGAATTGTTAATTTAGAAAAACGAATGCGAACAGATAATACACCATAATGCCGGTGGAGCACACAAATATAAAAGTGGCGGTGCGCGTCAGACCGTATAATGCTAAGGAATTAGAACATACACAGCGTAGTATTATCAAGGTTATGGATAGATCGGCTTTGCTGTTCGATCCGGACGAAGAAGACGATGAATTCTTCTTCCACGGCACCAAACAGAATTACCGGGACATCACAAAACGTATGAACAAGAAGCTGACGATGGAATTTGATCGCGTATTCGACATAGACAACACAAACCAGGATCTCTTTGAGGAGTGTACGGCGCCGCTGGTCGACGCGGTGCTCAATGGGTAAGGGTGGCTTACATGCCTTTGTTTACAAGTATTTCACGTCCATAATTCTGTGTGTGTGTACAGGTACAACTGCTCCGTGTTTGTGTATGGCGCGACAGGAGCTGGGAAGACATTCACCATGCTGGGCAGCGACGCAACTCCCGGCATAACGTTTCTGACCATGCGCGACCTGTTCGATAAGATCCAGGCGCAAAGTGATGTGAGGAAATTCGATGTGGGTGTCTCATACCTGGAGGTATACAACGAGCACGTTATGAATCTGCTCACAAAGTCGGGTCCACTAAAACTACGCGAGGACTCCAACGGTGTGGTTGTGAGCGGGCTGCGACTGACCCCCATCTACAGCGCTGAAGAACTGCTGCGGATGCTGGCCCTGGGAATTCGCATCGAACTCAACACCCCACCGATGCCAACGCGGAGAGTTCGCGATCCCATGCCATCTTCCAGGTGCACATACGCATCACGGATCGCAAAACCGACACAAAGCGAACGGTCAAGCTGTCGATGATTGATTTGGCGGGCAGTGAACGAGCGGCCAGCACCAAGGGTATTGGTGTGCGCTTCAAGGAGGGTGCCAGCATCAACAAGAGTCTCCTGGCGCTGGGAAACTGCATCAACAAGTTGGCCGATGGCCTCAAGCACATACCCTATCGTGACTCGAACCTGACACGCATCCTGAAAGACTCTCTCGGCGGCAACTGCCGCACGCTGATGGTTGCCAATGTGTCGATGAGCTCCCTTACATACGAGGACACCTACAATACCTTGAAGTACGCTAGTCGAGCGAAGAAGATCCGAACCACATTGAAGCAGAACGTGCTCAAGTCGAAAATGCCCACAGAGTTCTATGTGAAGAAGATCGACGAGGTCATGGCCGAGAATGAGCGATTGAAGGAGCGCAACAAGGCGTTGGAGGCGAAGGTGGCTCAGCTGGAGCGCAGTAGCAGCAATGGCTACGATCCCCAGGAGTTGAAGTCATGGTACACCAAGATAGATGCTGTATATGCCACTGCGAAGACGATCCAGGAGTGCACGATCGGCGTACGGAGTAAGATTAAGACTGTTAACTATCGGCAGACGCTAAAAAAGGATTTCGAGGAATTCAGGAAGATGTTGTCACAGGACCAACGAATGTGCCAAGAGGTAAGTAACAAATGCTAATAGTTTATTTTGTTTTTAAATCAGCGAAACGGGCTCGAAAACACATCAATCAGTCTTAGTTATCGCCAAGCAGTTCCTTCTGCTTGCTGGCCAGCAGCTTGTCCGCTTCGGCAATGAACTTATCCGCAATGGCCGTGACCTGGGTCTGGACAGCAAAGGCATCATCTTTGCCAACGTCCGCCTGCTTCTTCAGCTTGCGAATGTGCTCATTCTGAACGTTTCGTATGGCATCGCGGTACTTGACGAACAGAGCCTTGGCGTTCTTGGACAGATTCTCGCGGTGCTCCTTGGTCACCTTGGGTATGGGTATGAACAAAGTTGTGCCGTCCTGCTGGGGATTCAGGTTCATGCCGCTCCTCTCGATGGCCCTCAGCACGTCGGGAATGGTTTGTGGAAAGGCAATCATGTTGATAATAATCGTCTTGGGATTCTTTCGTGATATCTGTGCGAGCTCCTGCAGCTCGTGCTCATCGCCGTCCACCTTGATGCGCAGCGTGTCAATGGCTCCGCTGGTAGAGCGCAGCGACAGGTGCTTGATAAAGTCCTCCTTCATCTGCTGCACCGACCTTTCCATCTGTGTGTTGAGGCTGTCTAAGTTGATAATCTCTCGCAGCTGCTGCTCGTTGATCTCCACTTTTCCCGCCTTGCTTTTGCCGCCTTTCTCCTTCTTTTTGTCCTTGCCTTTTGCATAACAGCGCGCCTGCAGCCAGCCGCTCTGTATTTGCTGCGGCTGCTTCTCTACCGGCAACAGTCTGCTGGGGCAGGTGAGAAGCGACCGTTGTACTGGAGCTTGACGCCCACCCAGGGCGATTAAATGCAGTGTATTCCTGAGCATTTGTTTCAGATTACTATTGTAAATTTGTTTGATTAAATGCGGCAGAGTCTGAACAGCTGTTTCTTGGGGCTGCCAACTCGCAAAAAGTTTGAATCACGTAACGTAACGTCACGTAACCTACGAAATTATGCTAAGCGCGGGCTTATTTGAATTTTAAATTGTGTTTTAACGAAATTAATAGAATGATTTCATTCACTTTTTTTTTAGGACTACCGCCGATTTAATAACTATATGAGTACGCTGGCCAGTCAAAACAGCAAATACACTGAGGAGCTGCCGGGCTGGCAGGCTAAAGTTCAGCACGCCTACCGAGAAGTGGAGAGTTTGAAGCGTGAGGTCAATCAATCGAAGCTTCAGCAAGTCCTTGGCCTGTATGTAAAGAGCAAGGATCTCGAACTGCAGATGGCAAAACACAATATATCCAGCAACCACCTGCACTTGATCAACCGGGAGCTGGTGGAGAACTCGGACCTTATACGCAAATCCTTTACCACTGCCTGCGATGTACTGAGCCAGGCGTATGATCGGCTCGAGGAGGCCGAGAAGTTGACACCAGATATTCAAGCATTGTACGATCGCCTGCAGCGAAAAATGCGATTCGCTGAATCTGAGGCCAACGTTTTGGAATTGGAAACGGACGAGACTGAGAAGCCTGTGTACAAGCGTTTGCTGGGCAGTGAAGAGGACGAGGAGCAAGCAGACACACTCACAGCCAGCGCCAAGAAGCGGCAGTTTGTGCGGAAAGCACAAATTGATGATGATCTCCATTTGAGTGTGGACAGTACCACCGACAGCCTGGAAACAGATTCAGACTCTGACGAAGCGCACAAGACATTCAAGATGCCACGTAACCTCAACCAGACGCAAGTCCTGGGCACTACATTCAATGCTCTGACATCGACGGTAACAAAACAGCGTAAAGTCCACCAACGCATTGTCACGGACTTGCTGTCCGAACAGAATGTGCGCGGTGGCAATGACAAGATCAAACAAGGTACTATTTACAGTCGAGTTCTTCCAGACGATCGAATAGCACGTAATTAATACTTTTTACTTGCAGTTCTGCTTAAATCTAACAACTTTACTACCCAAGGACTGCAGCGAACCCTGGCCGCGGCCTCAATAGCCAAGGAAAACGTAAAATTCAACGGGAATTATGTGCGCAAGAGTCCGCGTGCCCTTGTGGCAAAAAGTATGTACCAGAGCAAGCGTCTTCTATTCGCTATTTCATTCGTTTCATCCACTCACAGCAATGGCGGGAAGTTCAACGCTAACCCGTAAACCACTGGGATCGGGAAGTAAGGAGCCGCCATTGGTAAAGTTCAATCGGGCCGCATCGTTTCGCTTGAAGAAATGAGGAGGAGGGACGCTGTACACGTTAGTTTTAATTTTTGTTCGCTTTTTATTATTTAACGATTTGATGTGTTGGGGACTCGAAACCATTTAATGCCCACAGAACATCAGAACATTAACCCATCCAAATTCAAAACCTTAAACCATATTCGTTTTGAGTTGTTTATTCAAACAGAAATACCCTACCCTGAATATATTTATGTACGTTAATTTTATAAGTTGAATGAGAACTGCGTTACGCGCTTTATCTAAAAATATATGGCCGCTTCCTTGCCATCAGCCAGATTGTGTACTTCTCTGCGGTAAATGTCGTCCGCAGTCGCGTGTCTGTTGCTCCGAGACGGTGCTAGACCCAGCAGACCAAGGAGCATGTAGAGAAGCGCACCGAGATTCACGCCCATCAACAGGAGCCCGGGTGCCAGCAAAGGACCGAGAAGACCCATCATGGCATTGGGAGCAGAAGGAACGGGCCAGTTGGCGGTGTAAACACTGTCGTAGGCGTACTCTCCGCGTCGCCAGGGTTTCTGTGTCGGATTTCCATTCTCGTTGATGGGCGGCCTCTGCCGATCGCCGTCTGGACTCAGGTCCAGATCCTTGTTCTTGCTTTCGGCAGTCAGAGTGTAACGTGGCACAAAGGTTGGTTCAGCGACCGACTTGCCATCGTTCCCGGATCCGCTGGCAGCCGCGAGACAGGCAATAAAGATAATCGGTAGCCACATATCTTCCATTTGCTATTTTAAGCTTGTTTACCCGGCGTGCTCGTCGTGCACTTTTATAGCCACTTGCTGCTAAGGGCATGAACCGTGACTGGGGCCAGCCGTGACAGGTGGCAGGTGACAGCTCGTGGTTCCTTTGCGCTGTCAAGATGCCAGTCTGGAAACGTACAATAAGCATATATTTATTTAAGGTAATCGTTGATCTCTTGTATATAAAGTAATTTAATATAATGTGATTAATGTAATTGCTGTCCATCTTAAGGTATCAAAAGGTTATTGTCTGGTTGCCCGCGTCGCGTGTCCAATTTCGTGGTCTAGTTAAGACGCTGCGCTTTGAGGAGAACCTGAGGCTTTTCGATCTCCGCTTTGCTCTGCACCAGCTTCAGTTCGCGCTCGCAGGCCTTGACTGGGCCGTCTCCATGAGGAAGGGCGGCGACAGTGCGCTTGATCACTGCCTGCAGACTGGCAATGGTCTTCTCGAAGACCTCGCTCACATCGCCACAGGCATGGCTATGTGCTAGGAAAAGGGAGGCGAAGAGATCGCCTGTGCCGGTGAAAACCAGATCCTTGCCGCCCTGCTTGGGTATGTCGATAGCCAGCCTCGGGCCATTCAGCTGACTGAGGAAGGCGCGCAGGACACCCGGCTGGCCGAGATCACTGCTGGAAATGACCACCGTTTTGATCTGGCGTTTATGGAACCACTCCATTGCCTCCCACACGGCAGCCTCGCTGCGCACCTCCTTGCCCGTGAGCAGCTCCACCTCGTACTGATTCGGAGTTATGATGTCGGCCAGCGGAATGATTTCGTCACGGTAGATGGGCAGCAGCTCCTTAGGAACATACAGCTGACCGTTGTCGCCCATAACAGGATCACAGACATAAACCAGCTTCGGATTAGCCTGGCGCAGCTTCTGCACAATGACTCCTACTTCGCGTAGGAACAGTGGATTGCCGATGTAGCCCGTCAACAGGTGAGAGTAGTGGCCCAGCAGCTCATTCTCCTCAAGACCTTCGATAATCGTGACTGCAAGTGGATGGATTGGATAATCATAATCACAGCATCAATGGAATGGCTGCTAACTTTACCCAGTTCTTTTTCGTTGGAAACGGGTCCCTTGAAGGTCTTGTAGCCCGTGTGATTAGAGAATTGCACTGAGTTCAGTGGATCCACATCAAAGCCCAGCAACTAGGTTATCCAAGGTTATTACTTTACGTGAAAAAAGGTGTCATCTTGGAGATAACGAACCTGAAGTGGGTAGGTGGCTACCTTATTGCCCACATAGCCGTGCACCACATGACTCTGGATGGAGAGAACCCGCTTGGTTGCTGTTGCTGCTGCTGCCATTTTCGCAATGGAGTAGGGATAGAGTCTGCCGGTCAATAGGGACTTGGGTGCTTGATTTGTTGTTATCTTGAGCTGCCTGTGAAACGAAACAAACCGATAAGAGGCACAAAGACAGATTGTGATGGTCGCAAACAACAAGTCGTGAGCACGGTACGGGAGAGAGAGATTCGTTTCCAATTGCAGCAATTGAGAGACCTTGGAGCTCATCCCTCCAGCAATTTCCACCCACCCCACTCTTAAATTGACCTCTCCTGCGCTCTACCCTCTCTAGGTCGCACACCTTGCAATTTTCTTAGATACTGAAAAAATACCTAAATTCAAACAGCTGTGTGTCTGCCAGTCGCAGCGAATGGCAGTCGCATGGTGTTTACGTAAAAGCCGCTTTAAAAGATAACTTTTTCAATAAAAACCATCTTTTTTGAACTAAACGAAAGCAAAACACAATGGCGGCCAGCTTGACTCGTTTGTTGGAGCGCAGCCTACGAACCACACACGCGGCGCAGAGCAATGTGCGTCTTTTCAGCAATAGCAACCAGCAACAGCCGCAGCCAGAAGTTGAGGACGACGAGGGTAAACAAATATGGTGTTAAAACTAAAATTATAGCTTTTCATAAAACCCTTTCGTAGAGTTCCGTGTACTGAACCTGCGCCCAGTTAAGCAGCAATTCCAGAGAAGGCGGGACATCAAACGGGATGATGTTACGCCGCCGCGGACCACTCGCATGGCTGTCGATCAGGATTGGACGGCGGCCTGGCCAGGTCCGCGTTCCTTCCACCCTGCTAGTGTGCCGTTGCCACTGCGACAGGGCTTCACGGAGCGCGGTGCAGCGGCGCCCTCAAAGTTTGCCAACGCCGAGCTGATGAAAATCCCCAATTTTCTGCATTTGACGCCGCCGGCGATTCGGCAGCAGTGCGAGGCCATTAAGAAGTTCTGCACGCCCTGGCCGAAGGGTCTGGAGACCGAGGCCAAGTGGAGGCGCCACTTTCCCGTAGAAGTCATCACCACAGACTACTGTCAAAGTCTGCCCACGGTACGCAATCCCGAGGCACGTCGCGTCACCGTCTCCTTGAAGCTGTCGGATCTGAAGTTTGACAACCATTCAAGAGACAAGTTCCTGCGTCTCGTGGGCGAGCGCTACAACAAGGAGACGGATGTGCTCACATTCGTGACCGATCGCTGTCCCTTGCGAAAGCAGAACTACGACTACGCCCTGTATTTGCTCACGGCCTGTTACCACGAGTCGTTCATCACAGAGCCCTGGGAGGCCACCAAGTCGGAGGCCGACATGGAGGTGTATCTGTTCGAGCGGAACCAGGCCAAGCGTTCCACCGAAGCAATCCTCAATTGGAATGCGGCGGAAGGTGCACAGAAAAAGGCACCCAGTGCCAGCTATGCACAGAGCGTGGAGCAATTGATAAACGAGGGCGAGAATGAGTACAACTTGGCCAAGTACAAGAAGGAGGTAATGAAGATGTTGAATGTTGCGGCGCAGTAAAAATTAACCAATCGGCAATAAAGAACATTATGCGACTTTAACAAGTTCTCATCGTCTCTTGACCGAATTGAGAGCGAGTGCGGGGTACCATCATTATTTTTGCGGAAACCACTATTTTCCGAATATCCGTTTTTCGGATGCCAATCGATGGACAGGACTCTCCTGGTTACAACCAGTATTTTAAATATTGGCAGCCAAAACTATGGGACGCTATATCTCGGCCAAAAGAGCCCTGATCTAGGCAATACTTACTTTTCCAGATATCTTTAAGATCCAGACTGTCCATCGTTATCAGTTACAGTTATCCGCCGATCACATGGAGGCGTGGCACGCCCTGATCAAACGAGAAACATCGGATTTATAGCGATTCCAAGGCAATATCCTTATTGTACTTGATGATAGTGGACTTTCTACCGATCACGAGGGGGCGTGGCACGCCCAGATCGGGCATGAAATGGCAGAGTTATACGCTTTGTAAATAATGCTATAAACTGCATGAAATCGGGCATGAAATGGCAGAGTTATACGCTTTGTAAATAATGCTATAAACTGCTGCCAGTGTACAAAAAGGGACATTTTTGTTTACCTTCTTTGTTTAAAGCTTATTTTGTAAGTACCCCAATAAATGGGAGTGCTTAAAATAAGCCAGATTGTAGACCATTTATTTTCAGTTGTTAAAGTCCTAACAAGCTAGTAATATTAAACTGAATATCAAAATCATACGATTTAAATAAATTCTTTGTCAGTGAGCAATAAGAATTTTTCGTTTCATATCGGTCAGCTTTTGTCAGTGAGCAATTAGCCAGTTTCATATCAATCATCTTTTGTCAGCGAGCAATTAGCCAGTTTCATAACAATCAGCTTTTGTCAGCGAGCAATTTTCCAGTTTCATATCAATCAGATTTTGTCAGTGAACATTTCGCCAGTTTCATATCAATCAGCTTTTGTCAGTGAGCAATTTGCCAGTTTCATATCAATCAGCTTTTGTCAGCGAGCAATTCGCCAGTTTCATATCAATCAGCTTTTGTCAGTGAGCAATTCGCCAGTTTCATATCAATCAGCTTTTGTCAGCGAGCAATTTGCCAGTTTCATATCAATCAGCTTTTGTCAGTGAGCAATTTTCCAGTTTCATATCAATCAGCTTTGTCAGCGGAGGACGGAGCAAACAAACGCAACAGGCAGCCCGTCATCAATCAGCTTGTAGCGAGCAATTTGCCAGTTTCATATCAATCAGCTTTTGTCAGCGAGCAATTCGCCAGTTTCATATCAATCAGCTTTTGTCAGTGAGCAATTTGCCATTTCATATCAATCAGCTTTTGTGGGGGGGGGGGGCGCAACGGCGCTGGCAATTTCCAGTTTCATATCAATCAGCTTTTGTCAGCGAGCAATTCGCCAGTTTCATATCAATCAGCTTTTGTCAGCGAGCAATTAGCCAGTTTCATATCACAACATATCATGGTACGGCAGCCTGCTGCAACTACGAATTGCACGAGTCTGGCAGCGCCACAAAACGACGTCACATTCGTTTTATGTTGTTTTTGTTTGAACCTTAATATGTAAATAATCCAATAAAAAGGACTTTTAAAAACTTGCCAATCCTGAAAAAAATGTATGTATCTATCGGATAAAATTATTTGTTTAGGGCTGAGAGGGCCAACTAGTAATATTAAACGGAATATCCAATCCAATCATATCAAAAGCGCAACGACTGTAGCTCGATACTATTATCATGATAGTCGCAAAACCGTCGATAGTAGAGGCTAGAAGTAAAATATCGATACTATCGATAGTGCCCTCGATGGTTTGACACCTCTATAGCAAGTTGTTGTTGATTGAATGAACAAAACAACTAAGCTAATTTTCGTGGACGTGGAGGCAACGACCCTTTGTTTGTTATGCTAATTAGAAGATTAAATTCCAGATTTCCGTTTAGTTAATGTATGTAGAATATAAGAGTACGTTTTAGTTTTGAGATTTAAAACTGTCACGAATATAGCCAAATTACAAGTAATAAAAAATAACAAACTAAAATAGGAGATAGCATATATTTAGTGCGCATAGTTGGTATTCGAATAAGGTAAGTGCTGATTTCGTTGACAGCTCCGCCGGTCACTCGTTTCAGTCACTTTTGCCCGTCGCCGGAAGTTCCTAGAGTGCTCTGTACTGCTTTTATCACAACTTTATTTCAATTTGGTAAAAATGTCTTTGCAAGCAGCGACAGCCACTGCCACTGCCACAGCAACGGCAACAACAGCGCTCTCTTATCGGCGATTCGTGTTTAATGTGTTCTTGCTCGGAGCCCTCGTCAAAGATATGGTTATTTATATATACGTTCTTGTACATGACTATGTGTCTGTTTCTAGTTTGTCTTTGCAGCAAGTCGTTGTCGGGCCTGGCGCCCACGTTTCAGTTTGTTTTTGACGACGGTGCTACGTCTAGCTCCAGCGGCTGTTCCAGTCAACACCTGAGCTAATACACGCCAACAACTGCCGTGCAGTGCCGCATCGCGCCGTACGCCACCGTAGCGTGGCTGCCTATGTCGTTGAAGCCACCGCCCTGACACGTATTCGGCGTATGCAGTGACAGGAAAAGGAGATCTAAGGACCAAGAATGCGGAGGCCCAACTTCAAGTGGATGGTCAAGTCCATCCTGCTGCTGCTGATATCGCTGACCCTGTTGGTGCTCATCACCAGCTGGATATCTTCGAGCCCCTACACCAACCGGCCCGTTCATCACAGCGTCGAGCCACAGCCCGAGAAGGCAGAGCTTTTAGCTCCAAAAGCCGCCGATGTGAACGAAAATGTAGTAGAACGTATCCAGCCCATTCACGTAGATCCGCTGAAGCCTCATCCCAAGCCGCAACAACAGGCGCAACCAGAAGGCGTAGACGAAAACGAACCGGAACCAGATTATCCTGACGAAGGACGCAAACGAGTGCGGCCGAAGAACGACAATTATGGCCAGCAGCCTGAGCTGGAGCTACATCTGAAGCCACATGACATTGGGAAGAACGTAAAAGATTGGCACGACTACGTGGCGATGGATAAAGATGCTGTGCGCGTTGGTATCGGGGAAGGAGGAAAACCGGCCAAATTGGAAGATGAGGCGACGAAAGAGCAGGAGCGTAGAATGTCTTTGGAAAACGGCTTCAATGCTCTGCTCTCCGACTCCATATCTGTAAATCGCTCGCTGCCCGACATTCGCCACAAACTGTAAGTAAGGCAAAAGCAGCCCACGATCAGCCCACTAACCATTCAATTTCCATACAGCTGCCGCCAGAAGGATTACCTGGTCAAGCTGCCCACTGTCAGCGTCATCATCATTTTCTACAACGAGTATCTGAGCGTGCTGATGCGCTCTGTGCACAGTCTTATCAATAGGTCGCCCCAAGAGCTGCTCAAGGAGATAATTTTGGTGGACGACTTCAGTGATCGGGACTATCTGCACGCCGAGCTGGAGCTCTACATAAAGGAGCACTTCAGTCAAATCGTTCGAGTGGTGCGTCTGGCCAAGCGCACGGGTCTGATTGGAGCCCGGTCGGCCGGGGCACGGAATGCAACCGCGGAAGTGCTCCTCTTCCTCGACTCGCACGTGGAGGCCAACTACAATTGGCTGCCCCCGCTACTGGAGCCGATTGCCAAGAACAAGCGCACGGCTGTCTGTCCCTTCATCGACGTCATCGACCACACCAACTTTAACTATCGCGCCCAGGACGAGGGTGCACGCGGTGCCTTCGACTGGGAGTTCTATTACAAGCGACTGCCTGTGCTGGAGGAGGATCTAAAGTATCCTGCCGACCCCTTCAAGAGTCCCGTCATGGCTGGAGGCCTTTTCGCCATATCCAGGGAGTTCTTCTGGGAACTTGGCGGCTACGACGAGGGCCTGGACATCTGGGGCGGCGAGCAGTACGAGCTGAGCTTCAAGATCTGGATGTGTGGCGGCGAAATGTACGATGCGCCCTGCTCCCGCATTGGCCACATTTATCGCGGTCCTCGCAATCACGTGCCCAGTCCCCGAAAGGGTGACTACCTGCATAGAGTAAGTGTAATTGAATAAATTGATTGAATCGTCTCTCATCAGGTCCCCCTTACCTTGCAGAACTACAAGCGGGTGGCCGAAGTCTGGATGGATGAGTACAAGCACTTCCTGTACGAGCATGCCGATGGCATCTACGACCGCATCGATGCCGGAGATCTGACGGAACAGAAGGCGATACGTCAAAAGTTAAACTGCAAATCCTTCAAGTGGTTCATGGAGGAGGTGGCATTTGACTTGATGAATAGCTATCCGCCCATAGATCCGCCCACATACGCGCTCGGCGCCATACAGAATGTTGGCGATAAGCGCCTATGCATAGACACGTTGGGACGCCGAAAACACAACCGGATGGGCATGTACGCCTGTGCCGATGACCTTAAAGTGCCACAAAAGTCTCAGTTCTGGGAGCTCAGCTGGAAGCGGGACTTGCGGCTGCGTCGCAAAAAGGAATGTTTAGATGTCCAGATTTGGACTGAGAATGCGCCCGTCTGGCTCTGGGACTGCCATTTGCAGGGGGGCAATCAATACTGGTCATATGACTACCACACGCAGACTATCAAGCACGGCCAGGAGGGGAGGCGGTGCCTCGAGCTGGTACCCTTCGCGCAGGAGCTGGTGGTGAACGTGTGCAACGACACTAATCTGTTCATGAAGTGGAACTTTGGCTCCTTCAATAAGACGGCGCTAGACAACTACGACAAGGATCTCGTCCTAGATCTGATTTGATTGACTCAATTCCCACTTGCCATGTACTTAACACTTCAATGTAAATATCTAGGCTACACATACATATATGTAGGTTGTAAGACAATTGGCCCAATTTACCACGACTCAAGCGCACATTCCAATGCTGCATTAAACGAGACTTTATATACATACATATGTATGTATAGATATGTACATGCATTTATACTCTACTCGTACGTGTACGAAGATTGTAGTAATCATGTGGGTGCTAAAACACTTTATGAATTCAGTATGAGGTAGAAGAAGAAAAATGCACATGAGCGAGTGTAACTTTGTTTTCGTTTTATTTAATATTAATATCTGTTTGCTTTCAATACGCGTACTTTAAATAAATATAATTTATGTTTCTTCCTCCTTCCACTCCTCTCCACGCCGTAACTTCTTCACATTCCGTATATACTGTTATATACGTTCTAAGAGTCGCGTATTGTATTGTTTATCTCGTCTTACAATATGTATTCATGTATCTTCCTTCGTCTTCTCTGACATTTGCGCTCGTCAGGTGCGCCGTGCCTTATCTTTGTTCTGCTCTGTTCGCTCTTCTGCTGTTCTGTTTCTATACTCGCTTATTACCTATACTTCAGTGTTTTTTTAAATTGTTTTCTGCTTTATCATATGCCAATATTTATAGTATATATGGGTGTGTATATACTGGTGGTGTATGTATATGCAACTATGTATGCTGCGCGCCCCGCAAAAACTTAAAAGCCTTTCGAGGATCTGTCTTTGTTTGTGTCTGCGTGTGTGTTTGTTTGTTTGTGTGTAACTTAATAAATGGCAAAGGATTTGCTTTTATTTGAAAATGATAAAAAAGCATTTACAAACTATAATAGTTGTTGGCTCGCATAATCAGTTAATCAATTATCATAATTTACGTTAATATATATACTATATATATATATATATATATATATGTATATATATATAATTATATAAACATTTAAATATTTATCAAAACATGTTTTTTCTTGTTGCTCAAAAGTCTTCTTCGCTGCCTTACATTTACATTACATTACGCCGTAAACTATACATTCTACATGCAAGTACTACGATCTCTCTCGTCGCATCTACATCTCATTCGCCTCTGCTCTTCCCCACTTCCGTTCTTATCGTGCTAGTTCGTCAAATTATAAAAGTACAGTACGTATTATTTTCAATAACCATTTTTGTTTGTTTTGTGCAAAATATATGTATGTATAGTATGTATATGTTGGTTTGTGTCTACACTAATTTGATTTGAAATTCAGTTGCGCTGCCACACTTTCATTTTCCTTATCATCTTCATTTTCATTTTCTGATTTTGCTTTTGTTTTTGTTTTTTTGTGTCTTTGTGTTTGTTTTGTTTGTTTGTTTGTTTGGATGGATACAACAATTACATTACAAATGAGTAGGCAAATAATTAGTTAATTTATAGTAGTTGTTGTTTTTGTTGGTTGTTTGTTTGTTTAGTGCTTAATACTTGATTGGTTTCGAGTCTTTTTGGGTTTTCGTTTTCGTTTTCATTTTTCTTTTTCTTTTTGCCGTTTAAATGAAATATTATCTTTCTGCCTTTCTTTGCCATCCACACTTACAGCGCTCACCTCACTTGGAAAAATCATAATAACTACACCCTAAAACATTTTACGATCATTTTCTTGGGCGCATAAATAAATATATAACTGTGTGTGTGTGTGTGTTTTGCTTAAGCTACGTTTAAATTATGATTTAAGTTTTAAAAAAAGTGTCTTGCTGCCTTACATTTTCCCAGCTTTAATGCACACTCGCGCTCTCTTCTCTAACAAAAAACGAACTGGATCTGTCGTCTCTGGCCCTGCCATGGAAGGATTGAAGCTAACGATTAAACAAGCAATCCAAATGGAAGCCTGCTCTGCTTGAGTGTTGAGTGGGATACCCAAAGAGCATCCACATTCATCACCCAAGGGGAACAGCCTCTCATTTGTCTTTGGAGCAATTTGAATCCGATTGGCACTGGAAATTGGCCCGAGCACCAAGGGACAGACAAATTGAGGGAACTTAGCTGGAACTGAACTGTACTCTTTTGCAGTGTGGTGTAGTGTAGTGTAGTGTAGTTTATCGACTTGGCTTTTTATAGTAAGAACTGCTTCTGTTTCTGTTACCAACTATATTGTTTTTGTGTGTGTGTGTGTGTGTATGTTGCGAAATTCTTTACGTTTTTCTAGTTGCTTTAAAAAATTGTTTATTTGTACTTTTGGCAATGATCTTTTTGTTTGTTTAACTTCCACTAACTCTTAGTATGTTCCTTCGTTGCTGCTCGCGAGAGAAACTCAAGCAACGTTTCATTAGCATTTGCTGTTTATTTTAGTTTTAGTGTGTTGGTTTTTTTGTTATTTGTTATTTGTGATTTTTGTTTTTTCTTTTAGTATTTGTTTTGTTGTTCTGTAGTTTGTTGTTGGTTTTGTTTGTAGTGTGATTGTTTCGTTAAGTTTCGTTTCGTTTTGTTTTCACTCCATTTCATTCCTTTAAAGTTTAAACATAGACAAAAATAACTAATTTACTCGTAACACATGTGGACAACGGCTGCTCCTGTTGTCGTTGGCTTAAGAAACTAAAGTTGATAGATTTATTAAACTAGCTGCATGTTCTTGTGGTTTATTTTCATTCAGTGTAGCTTGGGCTTTGTGTGTGTGTGTGTGTGTGTGTGCTGTGGAATGGTGGACTGGCAGCGCCAACTCTCTTTCGTATTCATCCAACTTGCTCTTCTGCTCTCTGCTCTCTACTCTCCCTTCTCCTCTCTCCCTTCTCCTCCTCGTATGGCACACGAAATCAGACGCATATACAAAAATAATTTACTGGGTTTTGCTTTGAGAGAATTTTCAGTCATTGTGTGGGACTTAAGATTAGAGCAGCGGTGCTTGGGGCAGCAGTGGAACTGGAATTGGAACAGCACCCGTTGGATCCAGTTGCGGGGAGTGCTGCCCCTGAGGATGATGATGCTGCTGGTGCTGATGCTGATGCTGATGATTACCAGTAGAAGGATCTGCTGAGCCGCTGATAGGCGGACAGCCGGTTCAGGTCTGCTGCTGCTGCTGCTGCAGCGGCGGCTGCTGCTGCTGCTGCCCCGCTCCTGGCGTGGGAGCCTGGCCACCCTGGCCATTCCCATTGCCATTGGCGCTGGCGTTGTTGCTGCCATTCGTGGACGAAGTCGGACTGCTATTGCCCTCCTGATAGGGCCCCGTAACCACACAAGGATGCATAGGAAACAGGGTCGTCCACGACGTGGTCGTTAGTGTTGGTACGTGGAGGGCAACTTTCTCGTTTTTTGGCTGCTGTTCGTTCGACTGTGACTTCTTGGCGCTCGCATCGGCGCTGCTCTTCTTCTTCTTGCTGCCGCTGGCTCCGTTCTTCAGCGGCTGTCCATTCTCCTTCTTGATGGCGGAGGGCGGCACGGGGGCCAGCTCATCGTGGCCGAGCATCGCATCGTCCAGGTCCAGGTCGTCGTCCTCGCCGGCGGCCTTCTTCAGCAGACGCTCGCGCTCCTCTTTGGCTTTGTTGTCGAGGTCCGTGTTGATCTTCTTCACCCGCATCTTCTCCTCCCACTCGTCGATGCCGTGCCGGAGGCGATTCAGGTTGCGGTGCTGGTAGAAGATCAGCGTCATCCGCGTCGGATGGTGGCGGTCCGGCCGCCGCACAGCCGTCGTCGCATGCATCTCGTGCTTGGCGCACTCGATCAGGACGCTGCCGTGGTTCAAGGCGATGGCCACGCCCCCCATCTGGGGATCCTGGAAGGCCTCGATGTTCTCATTGATCTCGGCCACCTCGCCGATGGGCTCGATCTTGCTCGAGTTGGTGCTGACCGGCGATGCTGTCGGGCCCGTGGGTCCGCTTGCACCCCCTCCCGTTCCACCCAATCCTCCCACCGACCCACCGCCATTGGCATCGCTGCCCGTCGAGTCACCGGGTGGCGGCACCGCCAATGGCGTCGCCACTGTGGGCTCCACCGTGGGCACCGTTCCCATCTGGCCGACAGCGCCCACAGCTCCGTTGCTGAGATCCGGCAGAATGGTCTGCGGCGGCGTTGCCGCCAGCTGCTGCTGCTGATGCTGCTGCTGCTGTTGCTGCTGATGCTGCTGGTGGTGCAGTGGTGTGGGCGCCGTGATCGAGGGCTTCTGCAGTCCTGCGATCGTCGGCGCAACGGCCCCGTGCGAAGCTATCAGCGTGCCACCTCCTCCGGCGGCCGGATTCGCCGCTCCGTAGCCGGATCCGGTCTGATGGTGGCCGTACACGTTCCAGTTGGGCGACGGCGGTGGCGGCGTGGGCGGAGGCGTCTGCTGCGGCGGGTACATGCCGTACGGCGAGTACGCCTGGTGGTGGTAGCCGTAGTTGTAGTTCATGTTCTGGTACGCATCGTAGGCGGAGTACGCCGAGTGCGGGGGTGGCGGCGGCGGCGGGTACATCTGGTAGTTGTTGGCGTACTGCGCCGTGTACTGGTAGTCGCTGGGCGGCGGCTTCGGCTTGACGAATCCCTCTTGCGGGTGGTGCGGATGGTGTGGGTGGTGTGGATGGTGGTGGTGCGGATGGTGGTTGGTGGCGGCGGCAGCGGCGGAGGCGGCGGTGGTGAGTGGTGCGAGATTAGTCATCGGTTGCATGGCTGTCAAGGCGGTTAACTTACTCTCGGCCACAAGGCTGTGGTTCACCAGGGTCGTCGAGTCCGGATTCTCCTCGCTGATCATCCGGCCCTTCAGCCCTTCCACTCCCTCCACGACTCCCCCCACTCCAACACCCACTCCGGGTGGCACTCCTCCCACTGCTACGGCGCTCTGCTGCTGCTGCTGCTGCTGTTGCTGTTGTTGCTGCTGTTGCTGTTGCTGCTGCTGCTGTATGTCCGTACTCGGACCCGTGCCCGCCAGATTGGTAACCGCTGTGGGGGTCAGGTTGTTGTAGCTGGGCACATACCCGTTGGTCGCATCGTGCTGCGAGGCCGTCGTAGTGGGCGTGATCGGAGGTGGCCCTGTGGCGGGCGCTCCTCCTCCACCCACTGCCAGAATTGTGGGTGCGGCGGTGGCCGTTGGCGGCGTCACAGTGTTGTGCTGCTGTGCCGTCAATTGGGGCTGTGCCGTTGGCGTGTTTGGCGTGAGGGGCGGAACACCAGCCACTCCGGCTGGGGCTCCTCCCACTCCCGGTGGTCCGGGCTGGGCGCCCATGCCCATGGCGTGCGGCGCCGGCCAGTTGCCGTAGTAGTTGCGCGAGTCGATGTAGGAGCCCGTCTGGTAGTCGTAGGAGTAGGGCGAGTCCAGGACGGTGCTCGAGATCTGGTTGGACTGCAGCTGGGCGTCCGTGAAGGTGTCTATCATGGTGGCCATGTTCATCAGGCTCGAGTTGGAGCTCATCAGCTGGCCGGGCTGCTGCTGCTGTCCGGTGCCTGCAGCTCCTGGCGGTGCCCCCACCTGCCCGACTCCCGGCGCGCCATTGCTGGCATTCGGATTGGCGCCGTGCACGGGCGGCGTGCTGAAGGCACTGCCCGCCGGACTGGGATTGTTCGTCACTGGGGTCTGGCAGCGGGGCGAGGGCGTCGAGGGGGGCGCCGAACCCGGCGTGGAGGCGCTGGAGTTGTTGGACTGATTGGACTTGGCTTTGGACTTGGACTTGGCGCCACTTGCTGCGCCATTGGCACTGCCGGGCCCGCCCGTGCCCGTTCCGTTCTCCTTCTTGATGTGCGCCCCACCCAGGGCGGGCGGACTGCTCTGCTGGGACTGCGTCTGCGTCTGGCCTCCTCCGTTGCTGGAGCTGCTCTGGCTGTTGGCATCTCCGGCGGCGTCTTGGTCGCCATCCGGTGGGGCCGCCTCGTCGCCCTCTTTGCGCTTCTTTCCGTGGCGGCGGCAGGGGATCAGCGGCGTGGATCGGACGCGTACTTCGCAGGGGAATCTACAGACACGCAGGGCGGGGAGGGAGGAAGAACAGAAATGGGTGGGGTATGTTAGCAGTGGTCAGAGGGCAGAAGGCGGAGCTGCTGCTCAAAACTCAACGCTACACTCACTTGTCCAGCATTTGCACCGCTCCGGTGCGGTGCTTGTCCCGCTGACCCTCGATGCTCTCGAACTCGTCCGTGCCGTCCATCGTGTAGAGGGGCAGCACGTGGAACTGTTCGTCGTCGGGCAGGCGGTTGTCCCGGTTGCCCGGCTTCAGCAGTGCCACATGGACTGTGCACCCGTCCTGCATATTATGCAGATCCCGATGCGAGTGGGCGCAGAAGTCGAGGCAGGCCGTTACGCCCGAGAAGGGCTTGCCGGGCTCCAGGCCGAGGCGGCAGTCGGAGGCCTCTCCCTCGTACTTGGTTTGATTGTCGTAGGATCGCGGGCAGACCTGCTTGAAGACGGGCGCCAGGAGCGTGGCTATCAGGTTCATGTGGTCCTCGATGGCCGCCTCCTCGCTCTTCACCGACAGCCGGAACTTGCGCACCGTCTTGGAGCGGGCGTACTTGCAGCCATTGTAGTACATCGACCACGAGCAACCGAAGCTATACGACGCCCCCGATGACTCCGGATCGAGTCCTGAGGGATGGCGAAAGAGGGAAATATATTAAATGAATGGATGATGATGAATGATGCTCTTCCTTACCTTGGCAGGCACAGGTGCGGTTCTCGTTGGTGGCGCAGCGTCGCGTCGTGGGCAGGCCGTACTTGTTGAGCTTGGGGATCAGGTTCTTGTAGGCATTGTCCGCCTCCAGACGCGGCATACCGTCCCAGGCCACCATGCAGACCACAATGTAAGCGGCGATGCATCTAAGAGACGGCGGAGGAGACCAGCAATAAATAGGAATGTTCGTGGGGGGCGGGCGGTGTATGAATTGGCTTACCTGTGACCCGGTCGCTTCTTCACCACCACCAGTATCTTCTCCTCGAGATCGGCCCTGCGTATGACCCACTTGGCCACGGGACAGCCCTGCGAGGTCTTGCCCTCCTTGCCAGTGTAGACGATCTTCTCGATGCGCAACTGCCGGCCCGTCAGCTGACACCGATCCTCGAACTCGCGCCGCAACTCCATGAGGGAGGAGGCCGTTCCTGGAGAAGATTAACCACACATTAGCATTGGTTTGTTTTAGGTTTTGGAATGCTGCTAGGCTACTGGAGACTACTCACCAAGGTGCGTGTAGTAGGTGCCCGGCTCGGGGGGATTCTTGTCGGACTGGAAGCACTCGCACTCGGGTATCTCCGTCTTGTTGCCCTTCTCCAGGCGATCCGTGGTGTCGAACAGGGGATTGATCTTCTCGTGCTTCACGATGATCTCGGGTATCTCGTCCGGCTTCTGCTTGCCCTTTGCCTTGCTGGCGGCGCCCTTCATGCCGTTGTGCGCGTCCACCAGCTCGTCCTCGTCCAGCAGCTCCTCCTTGGGCTGGATGCCCAGACCCAGGCAGGTGCCGTCCTTCAGATGCTCGGCCGTGGGTGGCCGTGTTCCGCCCTGGCGACAGCACGAGAAGCCGTTGTTCAGCGGCTTGCCGTCGCCCAGATAGGTATACCCGCCGCCGCCATGCCCGTGGCCGTGGCCCAGCATTCCCATGTCCTCCAGCTTCGGCTCCAGCATCCCGTGGTGACTGAGATGCGGCGGCGCCCCGTGCGTCAGGGCATAGCGATGCGGGGGAATGGGGTAGGCGTGGGCTGGTATGTCCTTCTCGTAGTTGGTGGGCAGCGGGATGATGCTGTTGGTGTCCGGCTTGCGGTCCAGCTCCAGCATGCTCTGCCCGTGGCCGTGCCCGTGGCCATGGTGCGGATTGTTGCCGGGTGGCGGCTTGCCCCTGCCACCGTACGTCGAGTGCTGGTAGCCGGGCACAAAGTTCTGCTGGAAGTTCTGTTGGAAGCTGCTCGCTCCGGCCCCGTAGTACGCCGAGTTGTGATGGTATCCGGCGTACTCCTGCTGCCCGTGCCCATGCCCATGCCCGTGGCCGTGCCCATGTCCGTGGCCGTGGCCATGGCCATGTCCGTGCTGCTGCACGGGCTGCCCCTGGCCGTCGTTCTGGCAGAAGTCCGCGTACTGGATAAAGTTCTGGTAGTTGCGTTCGTAGCCCTCCATCTTGTTGGGCTGTCCGGGAGGACCGCCTGGTGGCGGGGGCAGACCCGGCTCCGTCTTGATGTACTGGCCGTGGTACTCCTGCCCCGCGGCCGGATGCGGGTGCGGATAGTGGGCGCCGAGGCCGGGCTTCAATCCACCCCCCGGATCCGTGGCATTTCTGTCTCTGTCAATCTCCGCTGCCGCCTCCGCGGCGGCTGCCGCTGCGGCTGCTGCCCGGCTCGCCTTGCTCCGACTGCGCGACTTCTTGGGCTGTGCGACAGGCGGAGGCGGTGGCGGGGCCTGTGCCAGCGGCAGTGGCACCGGTGGCACCGGCTGCGGCGGCAGCTCTGCGTGGCTGATGGTCGTGTGCTGTCCTGGCTGGTGCTGCTGCAGCTGCAACTGCAGCTGGGCATCCGCTCCCGGATAGCCGCCCCCGACCACAGTCGGCTTCTTAAACGACTGGGCGTGGTGCGGCTTCCAGATGTGGTCGCCACCACCTCCGATCGGCTCGGCAGCGCCCGGTCCCCCCGCCGCCTGCTGCTGCTGCTGTTGTTGCTGCTGCTGTTGGTGGGGTGGGGCGCTGCTCGGTCCGTTGGCGCTCAGCGCCGCCTCGGGCCGGAGGTGGTGGCTATACGATAAAAAATGACCGGTCTGCTGGTGTTGCTGCTGCTGCTGGCTCTGGCTCTGCGGCTGGCTGGCGGCTGCCGCCGAGACTCCGCCCTGCAGCTGGTGGTCGGGCGGCGGATCCTTGGGATCGCTCTTCCGCATGATCATGGACTTGATGCGTGTGTTAAGGTGCACTCGCTCTCCCTGTGGATAGCCTTCGCCTCCCAGCTGTTGCTGCTGCTGCTGCTGTTGTTGCTGTTGCTGCTGCTGCTGCCAGTTCCAGTCCTGCATCGGGGGCGAGGAGAGGTGTCCCTGCTGCTGCTGCTGCTGCTGTTGTTGGGGCGCCACATAAGGCTGCAGTCCGTTGCCAGTGGGCGACTGGGTCACGAGGCGTGGCTGCTGCTGCTGCTGGATGAGGCTGGTCCGCGTCGGACTTTGGGGCACTGCCAGGGGTTGGCCTTGATTGGGTAGTGGTTGCATGGGCGACGAGGCGGGCTGGGCCACTGTGGCTGGTGGGGCGGGCGTGCTGGTGCCCCCGGCGCCCGCTGCCGTCGCTTGCTGTGATTGTTGTTGCTGGGATTGCTGCTGCTGCTGTTGTTGCTGCTGCTGTTGTTGCTGCTGCTGCTGCTGCTGTTGTTGTTGCTGTTGGGGACCGCTGTAGTCGCCTGAATACCCGTTACAGTTGAGTGAGCGCGGCGGCACGCTGCTCACCCGCGGATATCCAGGCGTGTCGTTTCCCGACATCGTCTTGTTCAGATCGGCGCCCAGGTGCTGCTGCTGGGACTGCTGTTGCGTCTGCTGCTGCTGCTGCAGTCCACCCACTCCCACGGAGGACGAGGGCGGTGCCGGGGCCGTGGACACCTGTCCGGCGTAGCTGACGCTGCCCGGCGCAAATCCGGCGACACTCTGGAGCCCCACCTGATTGATGGCCGAGGGGGCCGTGGAGAGCTGCTGGCTCTGGAAGTCGTACCGCTGCACAGGGGCGGCGTACGGCGAGCGGCCGTAGTTGGGATCGAAGCCCAGGCCCGTCTGCACGTAGCCGTTGGAGGGGTAGGCGTACGACTGCGTCTGGAAGTCCAGCGAATTGAGCGATGTAATGGCCGGGGTGTTCTGTGGTATCTGCTGTATGAACTGGTTCTGCCAGCCCTGCGACGGATCCGCCTGCCACGTGGGATAGAAGGCCATAGGTGCCTGCAAATAAATGGGAAATCGATTTTAATTAGAATTATTATTCTTTTAATTAATTAAATATATCTTCAAGCAATTGGGATACTCCAGAGCATAGCTAAAGGCTCCCCTCTTTATCCGTTTCCTACGACTCATCCGCTTTTTCATTCATAAATAAACATTTTGGCCATAGAAACACAAACTCCCACAAACTGTTGTATGCATGCGAATAAATATTAACCATAAATCATATTTTGTTTGCCCTAATTAGCCACCAAACAAACTAATTGCGGGTATGGGGCAGCCGCCACCACACCCGCACCCGCCCTGAATTACAATATCCGCGCTGTGGCATGGAGTGGCAGCAGCATTTTTGTTGTTTTATTGCTGTTCCTCCTGCAGTTTGTTGTTAATTAACGCGCCTTAAATTATGCTACGCTTTGTTTTGCTCCGAATAAACAGGAAAACATCCAGCCCACCCTCTTCCCACCACCACCACATAGAAATAAAATAAAACCAGCAGGAAATACCAACAGACTGAGAGTCGGAGGACCGCCAATTCACAATCTACAATCCACAATCCGCCATCCGCAACCCGTTTTCATTTGCATTTTTACGACGGCACTGAAAAAAGTTATGAAAGTGAAAGCCACAACAGGGAGGCGGGAGGAGTAGGAGTAAGAGTAGGAGTAGCAGTAGGAGAATGGTGGATGGAGAGAGGCAACAATAAAATTCCAAAATAAAATGCAACAATTAAAATACAAACAAAATTGTTCATAGTTCAACTGTTTGCCCCGTCCCCCATCCCATCCCCCTAGAAGTATATTTATCGGGAAATTCAACAGAAAATTTCTCTGTTGTTTTTCTGTGTGGATTTATTTTCAAAGGCATTTAGCAATCATTGATAAAAATCGACAAAAATCGACAAAAATCTTTATGAATGAACGAATCGAATCGAATCTCTGTCTGGCTGTAGTATACACGTATATTGTATGTGTGTGTGTGTGTGTGTGGTATCTATAGATATTCGTGTATGTCTGGTGTCTGGTTCTGGGCTTTATTTGTGTGTTTGCACAGCTGCAGTGTGACGTGACGTATACGCAATGTTGTCCACACGAAACCTATGGGGCGGGGCAGGGGAGGCTCTAGCGAGAATTTATGGGTTTGTATTTTGCATTTTGTTGGGTTGTTGGAAACGGAAAACGAAATGAAATCAAATGAAATGAAATGCCACTGATTGACTAGCAACAGCATGACGGTCCGAAGGTCAATGGTCAAAGGTCGCAGCCGGTGCTGCTGCTGCTGGTTTTAATTGCTACATGAAAGGGAAATCGCTATGGCAATGGAAATGAAAATGCAATCGGAGTTTGGGCTCACCATTGGCTGTTGCGGTTGATCCTTCATGGTTTGAATTTGTGCTGTTATCTGATGCTGCTGCTGTGGCAAATGTTGTTGCTGCTGCTGCTGCGCCTGATGCTGCTGCAGCTGTGCGTGTTGCTGTTGCAAGTGTTGCTGCTGCTGCTGCTGGAAGTGCTGCTGCTGCTGCTGCGGATATTGCTGCTGCTGCTGTTGCTGTTGCGACAATAGTTGCTGCTGTGTCAACAGTTGCTGATGCTGCTGGTATTGTTGCTGCTGTTGCGATTGATGTTGCTGCTGCAAGCTGCCTCCTCCAACTCCTACTCCAGCGGTGGCTGCAACTGTTGCTGTTGTTGTATTTGGCGATTGCTGCGGCAACAGTGTTGCTGCCGGCGATGGACTTAGACGGGGCGATGTGGCTGATGCAGCGGCTGCACTCAGTTTATTTGCTTTGGTGGAGGTTTTGCGGGCGCGTGACTGCTGAAAGTAAGGCAATAAAAAAAGGATCTCTGATTAGTTGATGCTATTAATGGAATAGACTACAAAACCGGCAGATAAAGCACATAATATAGCTCTCAATTATAGTAGATATCTACTACTGCCAACAAATACGAGTATTGTGGCCTTCTGCTGCTCGTTCTATGAAAGTTGCAGACTTGCAATTAGTTTAAAATATATTTTTAATTAAGGAAATTTTGGTTGGTGGCACAAATATTTAAATTGCCTCCTCGCTGCACCCCTTCTTCGTCTTTTTCTTCATCCCCAGACCCCATCCGATCGCATAAATTATGCTCGCTTGGTTCACATAATTTCAGCTTGTTTTTTTTTTCGCTCTGCACGCCGGCAACATGTAAAATTTATGTGCCCCACGATTTATGTGCAATTTATTTGTGCAGCCAAACAACAACAGCAACTGCAAAATGTTGCAAAAATGCATAGCTGCAACAACAGCAACAGCTGCGGCTGCGGCGACTGCCGCTGCTGCTGCCGCTGCTCGGAACTGAAATATGTTGCACTCCCCATTAAAGGCTTTCAAAATTTATGTTCATAAAAGAGTGGCCGTCGTCGTTGCTTTGTTTTTTTTTTTGTGTGTTTTCTTGGTTTGGCGGGGGGTAGGGAATTCCTAGGGATGCATTCTCCCTTGTGGAAAAGTGTAAAAATAGTTGCCACACTGCTCGGGGCAGGTCAATCGATAGCGTCACATGGCCACCACATCCGAGGGCCGAGTATGTGCTGCAGAATATGGATGGAATGCTTAAAAGTTTTCTTTTGCTAAAATGCGCATGGGGGAGAAGCCTTAAAAGTTGGAAAACCTTTTTGCCTTGAGCTAGTTTTTATGGTTTTGACATAAAATGCAGTGGAAATGTTGTGGCAAAAATAATGCAGATTTATTCATAATACTTTATATTTAGACACATTCAACGGCAGACCAAAGGGTTGGAGGGTATGCGGTTTGAGGCCATGACATGGGCGGCAAGCCAAGAAAATGGTTGTGCAAGGATTGAGGATTGATTGTGTCCATTAAAAACCAAAAAAAAATAAACAAAGTATGTTGGTCTTAAGGCTGACAGTGTGACCCCAGCTGTTGACACACACCGATAAGAGCTGATCGGTAAAAATATCCCAAAGGAATCCAATAGAAAAAGGCAATGAAGGAGCGATAGAGAGAGAGAGAGAGAGAGAGCTCTTGCATAAATAAACGTTCTTCAAACAAACAAAATCAACGAAACCTCAAAACGAATCTTGTGCACAAATATTCTCGAATATTTCCCTCTCTCCTCCTGGTAAATATTTTTGCTAATTACGAAAGGCACAAATCAAAAGTTTACCATATATGCCAAAATACCAACAACTACGGCAACAACTGAAACAATAGATGGTCTGGTCTGGTCTGGTCTGGCCAATTAAAGTGGCTTAGATGGTGGGGATTGGGGGGCATCATATTGGGGATTTGTGTAGACATAAATACAATTTGCATGCGTGGACGGACACAGCAGAATGGCATGGAATGGAATGGCAGTCGGAGCAAATCGTTTGTGCAAATTGGCTGCAATAAAATGATTTATATTTTACACATGTATAAAATAATATTTGCCACCTTGACAGGCCAGGCCAGGCCAATCTGCAACTGTGGCTGTGTGTGTGTGTGTGTGTGTGTGTGCGGCGTGTAGCCTTATCCAGCATAATGCAATGCAAATAGATTCCACAGAGTTCGAATTAGAGATGGCAGCGGGCTCCCCCCAGATACACAATGCTACAAAAATGATTGTTTTTTAGCACGATTTAAATTAAAGGTGTACTGTAGAACAGTCGGCTTAAGGTACAGTCCTGCGAATTATCTCAAAGATACATTCGATTTAATAATAAAAGTTATGAAGTCTTTTTTTAGCGCAGTTGTGCGCCATTTTCGTGTTTTTCGTACACGAAATGGAGGAGTTTGTACCATCACTGGATCGCCTCCTCTCACTTTTTCCCCCTTATCAGTGGGGGCCAGGTGCGACGAAGCAACCAAATATCTTGAGCAAACAGAGTTGCGCCTGCCTGACAGAGTGGTGGTGGAGGAAGGAGAGGGCGGGCGTGCTGGGATGTCTCTCTCCAGCTCCAGCTCCAGCTACTTCTTCTCTTTGCTTTCTAAAAATATTTGCATTGCAAATATCGAGATGTAGGAAAATGAGGAGGCGGAGGTGGAGAAGAGGCGGAAGCGCAGGTGCAAAAATTAAAATAAATTTGCACGCAATTTCAAATTGAAAATTGCCAATTATTTCTGCTTACATTTCCCTTTCTTGTTCCTTTTTTATCTGTCGCTCTCTCTCTCTCTCTCGCTCCATGTTGCTTGCTGCTTTTGAGCAAACAAGCGATAGATAAACATCTGTATATATTGTATGCATATACTATGTACCTCTCTCTGTCTCTATATGGAGGTATTAATTAAAGTTTTGCAAACATTGGGCAACATATTTGTATATTTGTATTTGCTCAGGCATTGACAGGCGCAAACACAAATGGAAAAACAAATGAAAAATCGTAAAAAGCGAGAAACAAGAGAAACAAGAATAAATATAAATGTTTTTTTCTAGTTTGTCTGCTCTTTAATGCACTTTCCCTCGGCCCCCACAACACAATCACTATTTACCGAGTTCATAAAAGTTAATTAAATTTTTATGATACTATTTTGTATTTGTTTCTTGGTAAAATAAATAAAGAGCCCAAGATAAATATGGCCTCCAGCGGGGCATAGAAGATGGAGGACGTGTGTGTGTGTGTGTGTGTGTGCTGGTAGGAGATAGTGAGAGATTAGTGAACTGCAGTTGATGGCACAGAATGGAGAACACAAAGAAAGATTTGCGCTTTGAGAGTCGAAGAGTTGGATACCCTTGCAGAGCCATTGTTCTTTTGAAAGCTTGTGAGTTATTTTGATATTGAATTCTTGTTTGCAGCGATCCTTCGTATGCCAGATGCATGGTATAGTATTTCCATAAAATCAGGAAAAAGAAACCTTAAATCGGATCAGCAAATTCACTCAAACCCTGAAATATTATTTTGCATGGTAACAGATGAGATGCTCTAGATGTCTAGAGCCTCCTTCTTCTGCCTAGCAAGCAATCATAATACACTCTCTCTATCTGGAAGGGTATAGAAACCATCAACAACAACACGAGCTACGGGCAATGAATGATGGCCCTGGAGGAGATACGTTTCTGAGAGAGAGACAGAGAGAGAGGAGCTCCGCTCCTTGCCTTGCCTTCCTTTGCCTATCACATCCCTCTCCCACCCCCCCACCACCCACCCACTCATTCGCACAAAAGTGTTGAAGAGAAAATTGCGCGCTGAGTAAACAGCAATTAGTTGTGTCTCTGTGTGCGTTTATCTTCGCTGCTCGCGTGTGTGCACGTGTGCGCGCATGTGTGCGTTACATTGCCTTGATAAGCAGCAAACGAAACGAAACGACAAAAAATACAACAAAATTAAAAGAAAACGCTGCGAAATAAGGTTAAGTAAAGGTAAAAACCTTGCTACAACATTTATAGACACTACGATTGTGTAGGTCGGTCTCGGTGTGTGTTTTTTTGTCACGTTATTAAAAATACGCAGATCTTTAAAATATTCGAAATGTGAGGTTAGGCAAGCTATTTAGAGCAGCTTTACCACATTGATCTCCCGTGAATTTAGTTTATAATACCAATTCCAGATGATTTCTTGGCCAGCGGTACAGTTCCCCAGCAAAACTATCTTTGTGTTCGCTCTTCTGCACTGATAAGAGGCCATATACCACATACGACCAACACCTCTCTCTGTATTCCCCTCATAAATTACACACATAACAACAGGGTCTACACTCGTATAATATAAATTATTTACATGTCCCCAAAGTCAAAGTCTGCTGATAAGGTCGAACACACAGGGCGTGCGAGAGAGAGAGGGGAGGAAATAAAAAGCAAATCAAAGGCAAATGAAAAGAAAACACGTGGAATTGAATTGTAAAAAAAAATGCAGCGGGGGAATGTAAACACAACTGTAAATAAATCAAATATTAGTTATCGTTTATTTCTTAACTGTTCTATTTGCTCTACAAACGTTATCAGCATTCTGTTTGTTCAATGGCATGATTGGAAAATGTTGTAAAGATGTTGATATATGGAAAAGTTCTTAAGATATGACCCGTCAAAGGAGAACTACTACCCTACAGAAATGAAGGCAGACAGACTCTGCTTTAATTTCGTTGGATTTGTCCTAAGTGCTAAATTAAATGTTTACACATTTCCTGCTTGAAAATTGCCAAAGAACACTTCAGATTACCCTTCCAAAATAATCGTTTGCAATTAAAGCAAATCTTTATCGGTAACATTTCTGCATTTCAGCAGAATATTTCATTGGGTGCACACCCTTACCAAACCCACACCCCACACACCACACCCCACTTTTGTTCCATGTACCATTTGCTTTAACGGTAAATGCAATTCCTATGATTGCATCCAGACATCATTCTCTGCCTCTCTCTCTTTCTCTTCCGACTGGGGAAACACCTTTGGGGGCTGCTCAAATATTTAACTTGTATTTCGTATTCATGCTAATTTTGCATTTTCCACAATTTTCTCGCCCACCCACTTTAGTCCTCCCTTTTTCCTGTTTCTCTCTTGTGTGTTCTGCACTTCTCTTCAACCTTCCATCCTCTCCCCATCCGCTCCTAACGCCCAGCCTGTGTGCGCTCCTTTATTCCATTCCATTATCCTGCAGCACATTCTGCCTGGCTCTTGAGTTTCTTGCTGGCTGTCTGTCTGGCTGGCTGGCTATCTTCTGCCTCTACCACCCATCCCCCCACACACACACACACACACATACACATACGCCCACGTAATTGTAGCTGCTCGTGTTTGTGTCTGTGTGTGTGTGCCTGCATGTAATTGTACGTGTCGAGTGTGCGCCGTTGAGCAGACTACAGCTATTTCTTTTTTGCACTTCTTCTGGTATACTCTTTA